GAAAGGGCTGGACCCATAAATATATAATCACAGTACACGACCCATGCTGGACAGTCACAAGGTGTTCGATTGGTTACTTACTGTTTCTGGTTTTTAATCACACCTAGACATAGAACGTTAGCACAGGATTCTGCCTTCCTAGAATGTAAACCTAATTTAATAGGGGAAAATGCTTACAGGACATCTAAGAGACAACATGGTGTGAAGGTTAAGAGTAGAGACCTTAGCATCACATAGAGATGGGCTCAAATCCCACCTCTGCCATACTAGCTGTGTGACCTTGGGCAATTTGCAGAACCTACATGGGGAAAAGCTCCATTTGTCATCTGCAAACTGACTGTAGAGTTGTTGTAAGTATTACAAATAAAAGTCTAGATTAAAGTGCCTTATTATCATAGGTGATCAATAAAAGGTAATTACTTCCTAGTGCACACATAACATTGTGGAGTAAATTTCTAGTTCCGAAGTAATATAAGTTTATTTAGGACAATCACTATGCATTATTTCAGTGTTAAAATAACTATGATCAATATTAAGCTTTCTGATTCCATGTGCCCAGGAGAAATCTTGACATAATAAAACATAAGTGAGGCCAGCGAGGCTAACTAAAGTTTGAAATCTTTATTGATCACAACAAGAGATTCCACTCTATGATCCAGGCCAATAGAATCCTTGATCAGATTTTAAATAGAAAACCAGCTTTCCCTACACCTGAGAGGCCAAGCTGGACCATATAGACGGGCCCAGGGGTAGGGATTTGTATGTAGCCAAGACATCATTTTAAATGTGTGAACTCTGAAATAAATTAACCGCAGCAAAATCTTTCAAATGCAAATCATGGAACTCTCAGGTATAGTCTAAGCTCACTCCACATGTCATTTGACACATTTAATTCCCGTGGGATGTTCATGAGTGTTGTTTTTGTATGTGATGATGGGAAGCTGGGGGGGGACTGAAAAGGAGATGAATTTGGGAGTGGGAGAAGTAGAGGAAAGAAGAGAGGGGAGGCGAGAGCAAAAGAAGATGACCACAGAAAACGGCAGAGGGTCAGGCGGACTGTAAAGAGGAGGTAAGTCTAATTCAGCCGTTACCCCGATCTTGGGGGGAAGTGTTTGAAGACCCCCCAGCCGATGCCTGAAACTGCATATAGTACCAAATCCTATACCTGTGAACTGTGTTTTGTCCTACTCATACACACCATTTCACTTAAAGAAAGTACTTCATGGCTTCTCTTTGGCATGCCCAAATTGCCAGCCTCACTATGCTTGTGCTTTGAGACCAATATTGAGCAAAATAAGGGTTACCTGCCCACAAACACTGCAATGGTACCACAGTCACCTGAAAACTGAGGTGGCTCCCCAGTGACTCCCCGGAGGGGAGCGCATACAGCGTGGTTACAGCAGACAAGGGTAAGACTCAAGTCCAGGGCAGACAGAGCACAACACTGCAAGATTTCATTGTGCTACTCAGAACAACACACAATTAAAAACCTAGGACTTGTGCCCTGACCAGTGTGGCTCAGTGGATCAAGCGTCGGCCTGGGAACCAAAGGGTGGCCAGTTCGATTGCCAGTCAAGGTGTCCGCCTGGATTGCAGGCCAAATCTCATTTGGGGGCGCACAAGAGGCAACCACCCATGGATGTTTCTCTCCCTCTCTTTCTCCCTCCCTTCCCTTCTCTGGAAATAAATAAGTAAAATCTTAAAAAACCAAAACAAAACCTAGGACTTGTTTATTTCCGGAATTTTCGATCTAATATTTCAGAACACAGTTGACCACGGGTAGCGGAATCCATGGCACTAGAAATGGTGGATCGGGGCCACTACTGTGCTCGGTTTTAAGTTGTTTGCATTTATGCAAAAAAAAAAAAACCAAAACAAACCCCTCACCACTTCTCTAAAACCTTTGAGAAAGGACTCTTTCATCATTAGAAGCCTTAAATAAATAGAGATTTGGTAAAGTTTTTTTTTTAGGGACTCCAACATGAATTCATATTTGAGCGGACCCCGGGGTGGAAATAAAGGAAAGTCACTTTCTGTCGAACCAGAAGTGGGGCAGGAATTCGACACCCAAGTACCTAAAAAAATTTGAGAAACCTTTGGGTGGACCGTGGGCTTTCCACAGAATGTTGTGACTGTGTTAACATTTGTTCATTACAGACACAAAAGAAGGGAAAGTGGAATAGAGAAATTTATTACCTACAAGTTCCGGGAGGAAGTACGTGGCATCCCTGGAAGGGCCATGTGGTTAAGGTCAAGGCAAGGCGCAGGCTGAAAGGGCATTTCCCGAGTGTTTTTTTTTCTCCCCTATTTTCTACCCTTTTGTCTTTCTGCTATGTTTTTCTGGGACATTCTCTCAATTTTATCTTCCAACTCAACTTTTGAGCTTTTTGTCTCTGATCTCATGTCTTCATTTCCAAGAAATCTTTTTTTTTTCCACTCTGAATATCCTTCCCCCCCTTCTTTTTTTGGTACCTCAGCCTATTCTAGCTTTTTTAATGCAGTGTCTTCTCTTCTCTCCACGAGGGCAGTGAGGTTACTGTGTTGAAGTTTCCCTGTCCCTGCATCAATTCTGCCTCTTCTAGGTTGTTCTCATGTCCCATTTCTTTGGTTAGGTCTCTACCACAGCATAGGTTTTCCTCAGATCTCACGTCATTGCCTGCACTTCTACATAGGAAGTCATCGAGACATGTGTGCTGTGACAAACTGCTACCCAGAAGGAGGCATCTCAGTCACGGCATATCTCCATTTCTCTCTAGATGCTTCCATAACTTACATGGCATTTCTAGGCACCCGTGCCTCAGAAATCCACAGGTCACAGAGTTGTTTACCACAAGCAAACCTAGGCAACCACGCACAACCTACTAAAAGCATTCCAAGGAAAGTCTCCTGCTGGCAAACACCATTAGTTTGTTTGCTAGAAGTTCTGCCATTAACATGTTTAAAAAGGGACTTGACTGATCACCTTCTTTCTTCCCTGGTTTTGTCTCCCAAGTAATAAAGAGAATGAATCATAGGCCTATTGCTTGGTCCATTATTCACTGTGTTTACAGTGTGCTGTGACCTCTCACTGAATCACAGCAAGAACTCTGTGGGCCTGGAATTATTATCCCTGTTTGATAAACAAGGATGTGAGGCTCAGCACTTAAATTGTTTCCCCGAGGTCGTGACATCTGGGGCGATGAGGAGGGCCTCCGATGGCGAAGCTCCCTTCCTCCTCCCCACTGTCCTCTCACCGATAAGGTCCCCCAGCCAAACAACCCTTCTTATCAGGGGTGCCAGGCACAGTTTCTGGTTTTTTCTGCACGGCAGGTTTCTGTCCCCCTACCAGCCTGAGGAGTTATTCCGACAAGACAGTGTTATCCTCTCACGGGAACCAGAGGTCACCTGACCTTCTTGTTACTGCAAAGCCTACACTTCAGAGCCCCTGTTCCCCCCATTCCCAAGTTCAGCCCCTGCGCGGCCCTGCACAGCCGGCAGTGTCCTCCTCCCCTAGGCTGGGAGTACCTGCGCCTATTACACTGCTGTGGGTCTCATCTGCCTAGTGTTGCATGTCATGTACCCTCATGACCCTAGGGAGAAAAAAATTTAAAAATTAGAGAATGATTCCAGGAGAGGCAGCCAGTTAAAAGTAGACCAGAGGCACAGCTCCTGGGTGAGTCAGTCTCTTGCAGCTGTCTTCCTGCCCATCCTTCCCATCCTCAGCAATAATCAGGCTTTAAAAGGGCTCTCAAGGAGAAGTCTCACTCCTTAGATTACCAGCAAGCTGCCAGAAGAGAGGCAGCCAAGTAAATTCATTTACACTTAGGTGTGAATGATTGTCAGGCCTCAGCTGCATTTAACACTCTAGAGTATTTGCATTTTTCAAGGCAAATTTTTATTTTACAAAGGAATTAATCCCTAGTGGTAAGAGTCTTGCAGTTGACATTTGCGGGAGCGATAGGTTTTCTGTGCGCTTCAGAATCAGGGAGCTGAGAAACGCCGCCTGTGCGATGTCAGGTATGGGTCCCAATCTCCGTTTTTACCTTAAGAAGAAAATAGACAATCGTTCAATGTCTGTATCCTAGATCATCCTCACGGGGACAATCATCAGTGCTTTTTCTAGCACCAATCGTTCAGTCTGCCTTACTTAAGTGTGAGCACTTTTAGGGCAGATTGGAGCCTCACTGGGGTGTAGAACGGGCAGGCGTGCTGTGGGCAGGTGCGCCGTGGGCTCTTTTGTTGACCGCCTCTGGAGTCCCAGTGATAACAGTATGAATCTTTATACTCCACCTGTGAAGAAGGCAGATTCCCCTTCCTTCTCGGAAAGGTGCTGATGCTGGGAGACAGGGCGGGGCGGGGCGGAGGATGGAATCAATCCATGGCAGGGGCCCCCACAGCAGCATTCAGCCGGACACCTGTTTAGAATGTAGTGTCCCAGCCCAGACAGAAAGAATCCGCCGAATCTCAGGCCCTCTCCAGGTCAAGGAGCCCTGGTTTAAGAGCTGTGGCGAAGGTGCCAACCCCACCGGCGCTCTCGGTGTTCTTGGAGAGATGCTACCCCATACCTGGAAAAGACGCGAAGGAAAGGTCCGGAAGAGGCCCCTGTCTGAATGACTTCCAAGCCGCGCTTTAAGGGAAGAAGGGTCTCGCTGTTCCGTGCATTTCGCCTCTTGGAGTGAGGCTGGCAAGCTTGATTCTTCTTTTTCATAACCATGTTCCTCCTCCTATAAGAGGACGCCGGCTGGAAAGTGAGCAGGCAAACGACAGAGTCAGGCATCCGTTTTTTTTTTAACGGTGCTCCGGGAAGAGCTCGGCCTCTTAGACTGCGTCACCCCTTCGTCCAGAGCCCCCCAGGCCGGCGAGGGTTCTCTGAAGCCTCAGCATTCCGCGCCTCCCCGCGCCCTCACCCTCCGCCCCGGCGGCGCCCTGGGAGCTCGCGCCTCTCTTGGCACAGAGGCCTCCAGGTGCCCGGCACGAAGGCGGAGCCCCGCTTCAGCCGCCTCCCCGGCGCCACGGACAAGACCCCCGGGAGCTCGGGGCCCCAAGGCTGCGGCTCCGGCGTCCCCAGCCTCCCCGGCCGTCCGCGCTCCTCCCTCTCGGCGCGCCGGGCGCGAAGCCTGCAACGCGCGAGCAGAGCGAAGCGCGCCGAGCCGAGTGGCGCACGCTGGGCAGCGGCACAGGCAGCCGCGATCGCAGCCAGAGCCCTCGCTCGAGCCCGCCAGCCCGCGGACGCCCGGACCATGGCTGCCGAGGGACCCGGCCCCCGCGCCCGGCTCTGGACGGCGGCCCTCTTCTTGCTCGTTCTGCCGCGCCTCTCCGTGCGGGCGGATGGTGAGTGTCCTCGGAGCGCCCGGGAGGCGGCGGGGACCCGAGCGGTGCCTGGGGTCTGGGTGGGGAAAGCGGAGCTCGCTGGGGTGCCCATTCGGACCAGCCCGGAAAACCGCAAGCCTGGGAGGGAAGGAGGCGAGCGGCGGTGCTGCAGCCCCGCGTCCTCTCCCGGCCCACGGAGTTTCAGCTCGCCCACACGCCCGCACTGTGCCCCTGAACCCTTCCATCACGCACCGGAGGAAGCCAGAGCATTGGTCCTGCAGTCCCGCCGCTGGCTTTCCCAAGATCTCCAAGAAAGGTATTTACGATGAAATCACGTCTGGAGTGCCCTAGAACCTCCTCGGCAGAGAGGGACCTTTCCATGGCTATCAAATGTGCTCCTGACCGCGAGGCCAGTGATCAGAAGATTCCGTCGGTATTTTGGTCCGATCCGGGAAGAAGGGAAAGATGAGTGGGAATCAACTAAGCGAATGGGACAGGAGAGCGTCCTGGGTAGAGGGAACAGCACGTGCAAAGGCCCTGTGCTGTGAGTGGCGGGGAAAGTGGGATAAATGATAGTGTGGCTGGACCCAGAGTGCCAGGTGAAGATGCTGTCCGCCATGAGGCGAGGGATGCGGGTAAGGAACAGATTACTGCGGGTGTTGAGAATTGGCACACCTCTTTTTGTTTGTTTTCTGAGCTGAATTCAGCTTTCGGTGCTTCCTTTGAGTAGCAGGATCGCAGCTTTATATCCACTGGATTTCTAAAAGCTAGCTCAGCCGTGTTTTGATTTTGGAACAAAACCTGGTTGATTTGGGACCAGAGGATGGGAAAGGAGAGAAACCAGCAGGCCCCACATCTAGGAGGGGTTTCAGTAAACCCAAGCTCGAGGCGCATTAGATTGATTGACTTGGCTGATTTAGGATGCAGGGTGTATTTTTAAATGCTGTTGCTATTTGGCAAACAATGTCACTTGAAATTAGAGGACTTGACGAAAAAGAAACACGGTGGTTAGGGAAGGGGAAAGCAAGGGAACCCTCTAGATACCATCTTAGAATTTTGGGGGTTCTTTGTCCTAAGTAGCTACCTCGAAGAACGGTTTGCTTGTAATTAAAAATGAACGTCTTAGTCTTCCATGTCCCAGAGAAAGGCTTAGAAAACATGTTTAACTTCAAAGGCTCTTGGTGATCACTGTCGGTTTTTAATTGAGATACAACTCATGCAGAGCTTTACCGTTTTAAAAGGTACAGTTTGGTGGGCTTTAGTGTATTTACTATGTTGTGTAAGCATCGCCACCAATTTCTACAAAATCACTGTCATCCAAAAAGAAATCCCATAACTGTTAGCAATCAATCCACTGTTAATTCTTGTCCTTTTTTTTTTTTTTTGCCTGACATGGAGTCATAAAAATTAACTGATTTTAAAGAATGCAAGTAGAATAAACCAGAGCTAGTATTAACCATTAAACAATGTATGCTATTGTGCCAATTTTGATGCCTTTTAAAGAAACATTTCTGCAACACAGGAGGCTTTAGAGCATCACCCCTCTGTAACTGCTTACTGGATCGGCATTTCGTGCCTGTCAGGCTGAATGTGGACCATAGAAAACGGAAGGCAGAAACATCACTGGACCAGGAGATAGGGAGGACAGTAGCCAAGCCTGTTTCCTCGTTACCGCCTGCCAGAAATGTTTTCTTTCTCTTTTCTCCTATCCTTCCTTCTCCTCTCTCCCCAATGGAGGATTACAGGTACACTTGCTTTCAAGAAACTCCATTTGCTGAGCTCCGACCTTTATGACAGAGCCATCGAAGAATTATAACCTACATCATGGAAGGATCTTTATGTGCTTAACTATCACCACTTTCCACCTTTAGCTGTGTTCCACAGTAATGGGAGGAAGGAGGAGAGATGTTCAGTTGGAAGAGAGAGAATCAGTTACTAAAAACTCTATGGATGTATTAAAAAAATAAGGCACTGAAATAAATGCAAATGAAAAACATTTAGTTTACATGTGACTGATTAGATATGCATCTCTTGCATAACGGAGACCTGCCACTGTGCTTCTAAAATACTTTTGAAAGGAAAAATATCTTCATACTAACTGAATGCAAGTGAACTGTATTTGGGTAGTGATTACAGGAAAGGATTCATTAATTCAATGGGTCATTTATTGAGTATCTACTATGCGCTTGGTACTGCCCTTGGTGTTGAGGATAGAATGGTGAGGAGAACTAGGTCCTGCTCTCAGAAAGCTTAAAATCTAGTGGAAGAGAGAGTCACTCAGCAAGTAATTGTGTGAATGAAAGGTGTAATTGCAATTTTGATACATGGTGAGGTTAAAGGACAGAGGTCTTACAAGGGCACGTACTAGGAGATTTTGGTTTGGCGTAAGAGAATCTGAAAGATGAGTAAGATTAAGTCAACAAAAAGTGGGAGCAAAGAGTGTCTGAGTGGAGAGGAACTGTGCAGCTTGTGCAGAGGAACTGTGTGGGGCAGAGAAAATGGGACGTGTGATAACAGACTGGCTGGAGCCAAGAGTCCAAGGCGAAGGTGGTTCGCGGTGATGCCAGGAAAACTGGTGTGAGTGCCATGACACATCCTGGGCCTCATAGGCCAAGTTTCGTTTTAATTCAGACAAGGCCAGAAAGTCATCAAATGGTCTTCAGCCATCGGGTGACTGATTAGATTGGCAGTTTGAAAAGATCACCCTGATTTTTTATGTAGGGAGAACAGATGGGACCAGAACAAGATTGGATATAGAAAGACCATATAGGACGCTAGTTCAGCTGTCTGTCCATCCAGGTGGAAGAGAGTTCGGTTGGAGACCTGGGTGGACAAACGGAAAGGGTCTGGACTGAAGAGAAAACCGTGAGTCCTTGTGTGAGGGTGGAATCCTAGGGAAGGGGTTTTAGTGAGAAGAGACGGCTTAGAACCGAGCCTGGAGTGAGCAGAACAGGCGATGATTGATTCTATCTTCCTCAAATATATCGGCCTGTAGTTTTTATTTCTTATAATATTTTTGTCAGGTATTAGCATCAGGGTTATAATGGGATTTTTAAAGATTTTATTTATTTATTTTTAGAGAAAGGGAAAGGGAGGGAGAAGGAGAGGAAGAGAAATGCAATGTGTGGGAGAAGCATCAGTTGGTTGCCTTTCACATGTTCCCAGATGGGGACGTGACCCACAACCTGGGCACGTGCCCCGGCTGGGAATCACACTGGTGATCTTTCCAGTGCTCAGTCCACTGAGCCACACGAGCCAGGGTGACATGGTTTCTGAAGCAGATCTGAAAGTTGTTCCCTCCCCTGTTCTCTAAACAGGTTTCTGTAAAGTGAGGTTTTTTTGTTTGTCGGTTGGTTGGTGTTTTAATGTTTAGTAGTGTTTGATCACGTGGTTTGGAGTTTTTCACGTGGGAAGATGTTAAATGACTAATTTAATTTCTTTAGTAGATGAAGGAATATTCAGATTTTCTTATTCATTTTGCATCTAAGTTTGACTTTTTAAGAAATTTGTCCAGTTCATCTGAACTGTCAAATGCACTATCATTCGTTACACAATAATCTCTTATTTTCTTGTCGGCGTCCGTGGAATCTGTAATGATTTCCCCTTTCATTCCTGATATTGGCGATTTGTATTTTATCTTTTTTGTCCTGATCAGTCTTGCTAAGGGTCCATCAACTTTATTGTTCTTTAGAAAGAAGCAACTTTTGGCTTTATTTTCTCTAGTAAACATCTGCTTTCCCTGTCATTGGTTTCTGCTCTATCTTTATTAATTCTTTCTTCTGATTCTTGAGAAGCTTTAATTTTAGGTTCCTTTTCCTATGTTTGTGAGACAGAAATTGAAATAATCACCAGCCAGTTTCCTTCTGTAATACGAACATGTCCCTTCAGTCCAACTTCAGTTTCTCCTCGAGTTCTTGTCAATTAAATTAAAATGTTGTATTTCACTTGTGGTTTCAGCTTTGAACCCACGGTTTATTTAGAAGTACATTTTGTCATTTCCAACCAGCTGAGCCACCCGGCCAGGGCCCGGAATCTCACTTTCGTCCCCTTGCTCAGGGGCTTGACCATCCAAACCTCAGCTTAGCTTCATAACGGCGTTTTCCAGATCAGTAAATGCTGGGAGTACAAAGGGGCCTTGGGGTGCACACTCACTTCTCCAGGCAGGGCCGTCAGGTGCCGGGGTTCAGGTGTGTGCTGCACAGTCCCACCGAGTCTGAGGGAGCACCAGTCACTCGCAGATATGCTTAATGTGGAAAGAGTGTGCATTCTTTATAACTTTTGGTTCCAAAGCTGGGGGTTATTATATTTATTGTAATAACTTTGTAATAGATGACGGTAAGTGTCTTATGCTAATACAATCAGTAGAGTGTGATAATTTTACTGACAGATGTAAGCAAGATGTCTCATTCTAACTGGGGTTTTTTTTCTCCTGCCTTTACCTTAAACTTCACAGGGCCACCCACGGTGTTGCTTCATCCCTCCGGGAGGTTCCTGGGGGCCACAGTGCTCCCCCCTGCACCACGGTTTTCTCGCCTAAAGCTTCCTTGGCTTTTAGCATCAGCTTTCACCTCTGCCTGAATCTGTGTTCTCATTTCACCCACCTGCCCACGGGTCTCGGGCCCAACACACACCCGTGTATAATCACATGCTGCAGGAAGAGTGCACCAGCCTTGGCCCCTGCTGTCTTGTTTACTGGGGGAATGAAGTGAACTCATTGCGGGAAGGGCTGATGATGCTTTGAGATGGTGGGGCAGAGAGAAAGGAATTAGTCTGTTAGGTATGCGGTCACCCCAGAGCTGGGGCCGGGGAAAGAAGGCAAAGGTGAAGCCTGAATCCGTGTCTTGGACACAAAGGGACCCGACACAGGGAAACTTAGGACACTGAGCTTTACCACATGGTGTCTGTAAAACACCTTTTTAAAAGAAATACTTGAAGGCCTTATCCAGATAAACATGTCAGAGCAGATGATCAGTTTTTTTAAAGACCACAAACGTGGGCTGAAACACGAGTGTGAATGTCCACACCTAGTCCCAGGGATGAGTGCCAGGGGCCAGTTGCTACTGGGAACTTCCGGCAAGTAGGTGTCCGCAGGAGAGTAAGTCTGATGAGAGTCCGTTCCAGGGATCCAGGAGTCAGCCCGTGTCCGTGCTTGTCCCCACACAGGGAAGCTCTTTTTGCTGGAGTCTCAGAATGGCTCTCGGGGGCTGGAACTGGAGGAGGCTCGGCTTTCCTGCAGGAGCAGGGGTGCCCACCTGGCGTCTGCGGAGGAGCTGCAGAGGGTGGTCCAGGACTGCACCTTCACCCTGTGCACCACGGGCTGGCTGGCGGACGGCACCCTGGGGTAAGTCGGGAGAGCCGGGCTAGCCGTCCTTCCCACTCACGTGGTCACCCAGCCAGGGCTTCTATGGGGCTAAGTTATTGTTTCATTCAGGTGCCAGGATAGGCCAAATGCAGGGGGCAGAGGGGCTCCCAGGGTATTCTTGTTCTAAGTTCTCATGTAGAAACATTTTTCTGGAGTTCTGTCTGTTAATTCCCCAGGGCTTGGTGATTTTGAATTTCCTTATTAATTTACAAAAATAATACATGTAAAAATTTTAAATAGTATAGATATGTATAAAGTACCAAGTGAGTTCCTCTCTTCTTCTCCACCTCAGAGATCATGACCTAACTGTTTGGTACACATTCTTCGCCTGTTTTTCTCTGTGGATATGCCTCTGCTTGCATAGGAATAGGAAGATGGTATGGAGGTTTTAAATTGAAGCCAGAAATTCTTTCCCATTGCTTCCATTTGAATCGAGCACAGTGTAGTATTGCCTCAACCAATAGAATACAGCAGGAGAAACACTGGGTCTTTTGCGATTGGCCAGAAAAATCCATGCCTGGGTTTCTGAGCACACTCGCTGTTGAGAGGCCACGTGAAAAGTCTGAGTGTGCTGAGATGGCCGTGCTTGAGGAAGCCCAGACCGGATGGAGGTGCCCCAGCTTGATCCTTTCCCCAGGAGCTCCAAGCCAAGTCCTGGCCAACAGCCATCATTACCTGCCAGCTGTGTGAGTGAAGACACCTCCGGGTGATTCCAGCAGTCATCTGTGGAGTTGTCAGCCGCCTACGAGTCTCCCCAGCTCCGAGCCTTAGACATTACAGAGCAGAGACAAGCCATTGCCACTGTGCCCTGAGTTCCTGACCCGTGGAACCCTTGTGCAGAAGTAATTCCTGTGGCCAGCTAGGAGAAAACTTCCCAGGAGTGCTGCGGACCGCTTCCTTAGACTCAGACAAGGCAGCAGCCATTCATTCCACTGAGAAAGGAATGGGCTCCGAGGACACCTGTGGTAGACAATGGCCTCAAGATGTCTGGCTGAGAGGGCCATGGAAAGCACACACCACCATGGGGACTCACGTCTCCAGTGTGCCACAGGTGAAGCAGCCATTGAGAAAAGGGGACAGCTGAGGCTCCATCCAAAGCCTGTCAGTGAATCTGGAACTATGGTTCTCACCTTATATTGGTTACATCCAGGCTCCTAAGTAGACGAAATATGTCCCGTGCATGCATGTTTCCATTACATGGGAACATGTGATGTTTCTACCTCCATGTAGTCAAGTCTGGGCATTTTTCATACCTCTGTTCCCATCACTGCATCAGATCACCAGGCTATCCAGAGATTCTGAAAAGCTGTCTCAGAGCCAGGCTTAAGTCTCCCAGGCATTAATGATCAGGACCGAGTCCTAGGAAAGGTCCATTCTCTTTGGAGCGTTCAGACAACTTAGTGGATCTCTACATTGCTACCATGGTCATTCTTTGTAAAGCAAACATACTTACTCGATATATTCACTACACAACATATCAAAAGTAGTTTTTTCATTCTAGTATTACTGGAACCAAGAAGTAGCTAATCATTAGTATGTACATACATTTCACCGTGGGTTTTTCCATCACAGCCCTATCCGCTCCCCACCCAAAACCAACTATTCAATTCGCAGTGTGTAGTGTGTCTTGCAGTTGATGGCATAGCAGGCGTGGTAGATGGGGAGGTCTAGAGTGGTGAATACAGAATTTGGGGCCCCTTGTCTCCTGGGAGATGCAGATGCCATAAAGATGGCCGAAAAGCTGACTGGCAATTTTGATATGATGTAGGACAAGGAGAACAGAGATTTGAAGTCAGATTTTGTGTCGGTGGCAGCCTGGGGAATGCATTTGCTTTGGGTTGGGACATTGCAAGGCTGTAAGGAAGCTGTGAGCAGTACACGGGCCCTCAGAGGCCCTGCAGCATAGCTTCCATCAGGGGTGTCCGACCTTCTGCATCTCTGGGCCACGCTGGAAGAAGAAGAGTTGTTTTAGGCTACACATTAAATACACAAACACTAACAAAAACTGATGGGTGAAAAAAAGATTTTAAGGAAATTTACAGTTTTGTGTTAGGCCACGGGCCAAGGGTTGAACATCCTTTAATCCATGAATTTGGACTAAGATGATACTGAGGTTCCAATGCTCCAAATAGCTAGCAGAACTGATTTTAAAAAGTATCTCTAGAGGGAGATAACACTGTCTTAGGCAATTGATTTCCAGAAATAATTTTAGCAAGTATGGGGTTTGTCATGCCATATACAGTAACCAGTCACGTGAGAAGCTAAGGCAGTAAGAACAAAAATAGCCAATAGAAACTCTAGAGATGCAGTCTTTAAAACAACTCTCTATAATGTTCAGCGATACAGAAGTAAGAAGAAGAATTTTGGCAGCAGACAAAGAAAACTATAAAAATAACCAAACAGAAACCCTAGAAATGAAAAATACAATAACTGAAATTAAGAACTTGAGGGCTAGATCTAACAGCTGATAAAAAAGAGTCGAAGAGAAAAATTAATGAACGGGAAGGTATTTCAGAGGAAGGTATTCAAAATAAAGGACAGAAGGAAAAAGGATGAGAAATTTAGGAGAGTAGAAGACAAAGAAGATGCACGTGATTGGAATTCCAAAAGGAGAAGAGAAGGGAAAAGGAGTAAAGCAGTATGAGGCTTATCCACAGGCCCAGACTCATGAGACCCGACAAAACCCAAGGAGGACAAACAGAAAGAAATGGGCACATTGTGGTAAAACAGATCAGAGTCAGAGATGAAGGAAAAATATTAAAACTCATCAGGAAAAAGTACTTTAAAGGAGCAACAATAAAGGGCCAAAGACAATTGAATGATACCTTCAAAGTGCTAAAAAATAAAAATAAAAATTACTGCCTCTCTAGAGTTCTATACCCAGTGAGGATATTTTCCAAGGATAAAGATAAAGACATTGTCAAACATACAAAAGGTGAGAAAATTCATTTTAACAGACTTTCACTAAGGGAAACATTAGAGGCAGGAGGGAGATCATTATGGGGGTGGGGGAGGCTGCAGATGCAGAAGAGAATGGATGGAAAGAGTAAATGGTGCATAAACCTAAATTACGTAATTCCATACAGCGCTGATGATGGTGCTAAACACTAAAAAATGTCATGTCAGTCAGGGAGCATTTTAAGTATGTTAATACACAGTATTTTAATTATTTTAAGTTGTGTCCTTGGGCAAGAAGGTGAAAGCAATATTAAAGTTTAGTAAGTCGAGGAAATGTTGTAACCTCTGGGGTAACCACTGAAAGAATCTATAACTTCCAAACCAATAGAGAGGAAGGGAGAATGCCAAGAAAAGAATTAAAACAAAATAGGGAAAAGAAAAGAGAGGAAGAAAGGAGGAAAGAAGGAGTAGAACTAATAGAAAAATGGCAGATTTAAATTCAAAGCAATATATGATTAAATTAAGTAGATGAGATGCTCCAGTTAGAAAACAAAGATTATCAAGTGAGTTTTAAAAAAAATTCTAGTATTTGCTGTTTATAAAAGAGATGCCTAAATAAATCACAGGACAAAGATAAATTATGGTAGAAACTGGCATATAAGTAGAACTGAATGATACTAAAAATATGTCATCCTCAAGCCCCAGAGGGAAATGGAAGACATTAAGTGCTTGTGTCTGAAGAGGAAAAAGTCTTAAAATTCATGAACTAACCATTCATCGCAAGAAATATGAAAAAGAACAGCAAAACAAGCCCCCGAAATAACAGAAGAGCAGAGGTTTATGAAATAAAAAGCAAACATATACTAGAAGAAATCCACGATGCATTTATTGCCTCTGAAACTTGAATTCATGTGCATGACCTCAGCCTGAGCACCCCATGTCTTCCTAACTGTAGACTTTCGTTGGGGAGGATGTTTCCACACGGGTACTGTCATCCCAAGCTCCTGAATTAGAGAAATCTCTGCTAACTCTAAGCTGACAACAGAAAAGAATGTCCTTTCCCATTTTCAGTTCCTACTCCTAGCCCAGTGTCCTCTCTGTCTCTTTCAGGACAACCGTGTGTAGCAAGGGGAGTGGTGAACAGCAAATCATGAGAGCTGTCGATGTGAGAATTGAGAGCAACCCGGCTCCTGGTGGCACCTACAGTGCCCTTTGTATGAAGGATGAAGGTCAGTGCCAGAGCCTTGGGAAAGGTCCCGGAGCGTGTGCTTGTGGGGGTTGCCATCTTAGGTTGCTTTCTCTAGAAGTGGACCTTCAGGTGAAGATTCGGTGAACACTGTGTGTCAGGCGACTTCCTAGGAAAAGCCAGCAGGACAGTGGGGCAGTGGACATGGGAAAGAAGCCGAACGAGCAATGGTGAAACACTAAGCAGAGTCCACAGTGGCAATGAGGTCGGGGGTGGGTAACTTCAGCTGCATCCCGCAGCGGGTCTCTGGAGTCATTGTGGGTCACCATAGTTTTCTGGGCCAGGTGCAAGGGAATGCCTGTCAGTCATTGGTTAAGGGCTGCTTCAGGGAGATGTAAATTCCTGGGTTCTTCTGGTTTGTGATGTGCACAGGCAAAGGGTTCCAGTAGCCAGAGGGCCACATGCCAACCAAGATACACAGGTGCCCAAAAGAAGCCCCAGTACACGGGCATGGGAAAGGTATCTCAGGAATATGGGCAACCCCTGACCGCATCTGCTACAGCTGCTGATGCAACTTACCCTTCTGTCGTTCTTTATGGTACACAGCACAATGTAAAGAAAGAAAACCCTTTTTCCCCAAATGTATAAGATTTAGGAAATTGATCCTAAGAAGGAAAATTCAACTTCTTCCCGGGATATCAGCCGAGTGAGAGAAAGCCATCAAGGAATCCCCCGGGCAGCATGTCTTGTGCGCTGAATTAAGTCCACTTCATTATCAGAAACATAAGCTATTCAAAGGGAACACTCATGCAGACAGACAGAAAGACAGATGTTACCCATCAGTCACACACATCCACCCAGGTACTGCTTCGCTGCACACTGGTCTCATCTGGGAAGTTTTAAGAAATACTGATGCCTGGGTGCCAGCCCTGGAGAATCCGATATAAATGTTCTGGACACTGGGTTGGTTTTTTTTTTTTTTTAGCTTCCTGGTGATTTTAACATGCAGCCCAGTTTGAGAGCCACTTCTCTAAAGTAGTTTCCCCAGTCGCTCTGATGATAAGCAATACCAGATGGACCTGTTAGAAACACAAACCCTCAGGCTGCATCCCAGAGGCTCCGAATTCTAATCGCCAGGGAAAGGGTCAGACGAGTGAATAATTCAAGGAGCCACAGTGGGGCCCCAGGCCCTGGCTGGTGCTTGTCAGGCGCTTGTTAGCAGTAGGCTTCCCTGCTGCTAGGGGGTCTTTCTCCAGGAAGGGTCCTGCGGTTGCTGATTGCCTAGAGGAGTGTTGGCAGGCTCCTATTACCATCTGTCAATCAAGTGAGTGAAAAATATGGCCTTGTTCTGGACAGGCCTGGGGAGAACCATATCTGTGGGTTTTTTTAAATATTTATTCACTTTTAGGGAGAGTTGGGAGGGAGAAAGAGAAGGAGAGAAACATTGACTGGTTGCCTCCCACACACCCCAACAACCCAGGCCTGTGCCCTGGCTGGGAATTGAACCAGCAACCTTTTGGTCTGCAGGCTGGCCCTCAATCCACTGAGCCACACCAGCCAGGGCTATGGTTTGTTTTTTAAAATCATATAAGTAAATTAAATGGTCCCCAGTATCCCAAACATCGGCAAAGAATCGGATCCCCAAGGGAGACAAACAAAGCCAGAAGAAAAACAGCATAACCTTCATTCTTTAGTGATCTCAAATGAGTACACAGGGCTTCTGAGTCTTCTCTCTTTCCCCTGATAAATAAGAAGTCTCAGTTAGCTGCTGCCATGTAGCATACCATCCCAAAGGCAAAGGCTTATTTCATTCATTCATTTTTTTTCACCAGCAATTTGTACTCTTCTGCTGGTCTCAGCTGGGCTCATTCATGAGTCTATAATCAGTTGCTAGGTAGGTGGCCTTCTGCAGTGGGCTGGCTGTTGGCTTGGGTTGTGGGGGTGACCGAACTTTGTGTTTCTCATCATGCAATTGGTGAATTTCGTGAATTTGGTGAAGGGTTTTATGGGAGCTCCTTATTCTTATAGTTTTTTCTGTAACTTTGAAATTCTGTAAAAACAAGAAACTTCAAAAATGCAAAACAATCTACATACTCTTCCCCCCCAAAAGCAACAATAACAACAACAAGGAAAAAGGCCCCCAAACCAAAAAAATGTCGAGTCATGGGGAGCCCGCATGCGAAGCAAAGTCCCTCGGTGCTCGGTGTGCGGAGCATCGGCGTCCAAGTGCTTCCCAGGGCAGCCGGCCTGCACCTGGCCTGACCGCCACGCAGGTGGGAAGGGGCTCCAAGGAGAAGACTGGAGTCTTGGTCCTGCAGGCCTGCTTTGTGTGGAGGCTTCAAGCGGGCCCTGATGAGTTGGGATTAGAGGCCGAGGACCACTTCCTCTTGGGCTTTTCTAGAAAAGTCCCAAGGACACTCAGAGAGAGGCCTGTCCCTGATCCTCTGCCTTTTGTCCTTAAGAAAGGGCAGGTACACCGTTCCCACATGGTCTTCCGCTCTGCCCAGGGAGCCTTGGTTGACAGTGCAGGCAGCAGTGCTGAAGGAAGAGGCCGTGTCTAGGGGAGCTGAGAGCAGGGGGCTCCTTGGGGCTCCTGCGGGGGTGTCCGTGAGGTCTGGTGCAGCGTACTGCCCAGCACAGTATCGTCTCCAAAGGCTGCCTTTCTCCCAGTGATGCTTCTCGTGCTGCTCAGCTCTGTGCGTGCTAACTGCAAAAGTGGCAGGCGGGTGCCTTAGAGAGAGCCCAAGGAAAACAGAGCCTGTGGAACATTCATCATGAATGTAGACTTTTCTCATTTTCCTTCCAGTACTTTTGTCTCACTGAGAGTGAATTTCCAGTCCCATGGTGATCTCACTTAAACTAATAAGTGAAGTTATTTTTAACCAACTGGATGCTGATGAAATAAGCTGCCTCCACTTGGGTTCCCTGGCTCTGCTTCTCTTGGCAGCTCGCTTGGGGTCCACGGCGTGGGGTCTGGAGTGCACCCAGAAGACTTCACTCTGGTGGTGCTTCTGTCTCCCACCCCTCCGCAGCCAGGGCTGGCTGGGCTGCTGTTCCCCCGCAGCCCCGCTCACCCACCCTTCCTTAGCACTGCATTCCACCTCCCCGTGCACACTCAACCATGGCCGAGACTTCCCTTAAAAACAGAAATGGAATCGTTCCCTTCCTTTATGTCATCAAGAGGAGAGCTGGAGGCTCATCCTGAGAGCAATCGGGAAATTTTGAGGGTAGCCAATTCCCAGGTCTTCCTGGAGGAGGCCCCCTGCCTCGGCAGTGGCTCTGGGGAAATGCTCGGGCTGCAGCCAGACGTCTGGAACCAACTGCAGTGCTCAGAACACCTGGTAGAATGTATTTAGCTCGGTCTCCTGGGGGAGTGTGGAAGACTCTGGGCTCATTACCACTGACCTGACATTGGCAATTTGTTTATTTGTCCAGGGTAATGCGAAGTCCAGTGCTCAGACTTGTGGGTGATTCAGATGGATGTATGGATGGATGAGTAGATAGATAGATAGATAGATAGATAGATAGATAGATAGATAGATAGATAGGCAGATAAGCAGACATACAGCTGAATATAGAGATGTCATTCCCACCCTCAAGCTGACACTGTGTAAGGATAAGTAAGAGAGGAATGTGTTTCTATGACACAGAGGAGGAGGGTAATTAGGGAGACTTCCTGAGGCAATGGCAGTCCAGGTGGAATCTGAAAGGGATTTTTTGGAAATAGCTGTTAGGGAGAGGAGGAGACAACATTGCAGACTGAGGAACGATGGTTTGGGGAGACTAGCTCTGTGCAGCCGCGGTACTGGTGCTTCCAGAGAGGGAGCAGGACTCAGAACATCCCCAGTGGCTGGAGTGGATCCGGAGGGCAGCCCACACCATCCCCAGCACAGTCAGCAGGGGGTGCTCCTCTGCACTCAGCACCCAGACTTTGACAGCACCAGCCCTTGCTTCCCCGGGACGGAGTTTTCTGCTCCAGAGGCCACCTGGGCTGCGTCAGTCCCGATGCAAAGTCAGTTCCCAGGAACACGACTTTCTGCAGCAGCCAGAGCAGTGGTGCCGCTGGGCCCACGTTCTGATGGATCTTATGAACCCCTTTGTTTTGCCCCTCCTCCCTCGGTTCCTGCTCCGCCATCCTGTGCTTGGCTATATTTGGTTTGAGGAAACTGGGTGTTCAGTTAGCACCATGACTTGAAGGATGATTCAAAAGACCATCCGTCTCTGACTTGCTTGGGGGACGGAACTCATGTTTTTATTTATGTCTCTGGGAAGTTCCAGGCTTGTACTGGGCACCGGGTGAGGCATAGGCTCCTTTTATTCTGCTAACAGCCTAATGAGATAGGTTTCACTAGCTCCATTTTATATTATTAATATATTTTCTAATTATACACATGAACATGTGATCATGGTAGTTAAAGGATAAAGAAAATTAAATCAGTCATCATCAGTCAAGATGTAGAACGTCTCCTTCAACCCCAGATAGTTCCCTGGAGCCTTTTCCACGAAGGCTCCTCCCCTCCCCTCGCCGACAGGGCCGGAGGTGGTCTCTGGGTTGCCGTCACCATGTGTTAATTTGGCCTGGTTTGGAGGGTGCAGTAGTTCTCCAGAGCAGGAGACGCCCAAGGGTAGTCCCTGAACCAGTACTATTCACATCACATCACCTGGGAACTTATTACAAATGCAAATTCTTAGGCCCTGACCTTGACCTACTGACTCAGAAACTCAAAAACACAGCACACAGTGTGTGTGTGTGTGTGTGTGTGTGTGTGTGTGTGTGTGTGTGTGTGACAAGTACTTTAAGAGATTCTGGTGCACAGTCAGCGTTGAAAAGCAGTGATAGGGAGTTGAGAACACATGATAAAATTGGATGGAATGGGGAGGACGATGCTGGTTGCATGCTGGGTGCAGTAAGTGGGAGGGAGCTGGGCAGGTGGGCACAAAGGGTAACTTCTTCACACAGCTTGGGTAACGCCGAAAGGGAGGAGGGGAGGTCAGGCATCTGTGTGGGAATTCCTACCTGCCTCCTTGGTTTGGGACCTCATAATGGGGGGTTGCAGGCTCTTCTTGAGAATGTCAGATGCCATGATGGAAGTCTTAAAATTCCTCAAAATAAAAGCATCAGCCTTTATACTAGTTCTAGACTCTGGAAATGGGTTATCAGAAGCTCTGAATGGCCAGCAAATGCACCCTTTTAAATTGAAAACAAGTCATTGTTCATTAATACTGTTCATTGGCAAGACAAGATCTCTCATACAGGCTCTTTCCTTGGGAGGGAAAATAATCAAGACTGCTCTTTCTGTTGAAACTGTTGAAACCCCACTCTTGAGAAATCCCTCAACCCCAATCTCTACCCACGGATTAATTGAGAATAGCCGTGAAGACCACCCAAATGTAAGTTTTCCTAAAGAGGAGAATAGTGCCCAGGGATATAGCCAGCTGTTTTCCATAGGTCTCTTGTGAGGTTGGTGAAGGTTAGTGATGGGAAGGGCAGTGAAAGGGACTAATTCGAGTGGCCCCTGGACCTGGGGGGTGTTCTTGGCACACTCTTGGTTGTGCTGAGTGATGGAATTGCTGTCTTGGAGCTTCTGAAGTCACACCCTGTAAGGAGCAGTGTGTTCCCCGTCCTGGATGGACATTTGTGGGGAATCCAGAAACGTATGGTGTGTGGGCCCAGACTCTGGGGAGTGTTACTGTGGTTTTCCTGAGCCAGAATCTAGCCCGGGCCATTCTGGAAATGACATCTGAGGGAGAAGGTCCCCGGAGTCCGATGGGGTATGAACTTGGCCTGAAGTTCCCCTTTACTCTCATAACAGTTACCTGATCCTGGATTTTCCTTCCAAAGACTTGGTGTTGCGTTCCACCGATAGAGCTGCGTGGGGGTGGAAGTATTTACTAGTCCTCTGATCGTGTGTGAGTGTGAAGAGCCTGCAGCCTCCTGAAACTAGATCCTGGTGCGAGGAGGAGAGACAGGGACGTGCAGCGTGAGATGCAGGCAGCAGCGGATGGTAGAGACAGAGATGGAGTCTTCTGCCCCTGAGATACCAGCTGGCATTTGGCTCAACCTTATTTGACCGAGGCTCATGACTTTGCTCCATTCATCTCGGGATGCTCTTCTCAGGCCGAGTGAAGCCAAGGATGATGTCTTTCTGCTCAGTGGGGTGTCCCTGAATTTGTGGCAACTCTCAGATGGCTGCTTGTCCCTACATGACACACAGATGAAATAAGTACTTGATCTCTGAGGCTGCAGTCCAGGCAGTTTTGGTTCAAGTGCAACATTCTGTGCTGACTTCCTAAAGTACAGCCACACCCTTTTCCATTCAAAAATCTCTCCAGTGAAAGAACATGCATAGCAATGGCTCTGTTTGAGAAAGTGCACCCAAGCCACAGGCCGTGGGGCCAGTCAAGGTGGTTTAACGCACAAGCTGTATTTTCTATTTTCATCCTTTCTTAGCGTATCTTCTTTTAAGCAATATGCTTCTTAGGTAATTCGACTCCATAAGAGCTAAAGACTTTCCTGTCCAACATAAAAAATTAGAAGAGGAAATTTGAATTTAAAATGATTTCCTTTTCAAAAAAAAGGTCTCCCCACATCACTTTGATGCAGCAATTCGCCTTCTAGAAGTTTTTCCTAAGACGAAATAAGATATGTACAAAAATGTCCACATGAGCTGTTCATTGTAGCATTGTTTATAATCGTGGAAACTTGGAATCAATGTGAATGTCAGTGTGATGATTAAATAATGCGTGCTAGAATGTAGCCTTTCCAAAGACTGAGGAAATTTATGGTTCTGATGTGGAAAGACTTCTGAGATATTAAGGGAAAAATGACCTCAAGTTTCTGGTCTTGCATATAAGGAAGGAAATCGAATCGATAATTAGTAACCCAAACAGAAAGCAGCGGGCATGAGAACTGTGGGCAGGCCCCACTTACGGTAAAGACTGACCTTCGCTGAGGAAGCTGTGGGTCTGGGACGAGGGATCTGTGACCAGACCATCCTGGGTGGTTCCTTTTGGTCCCCGAGTTTGTAAGGCCTGCCGTGTGGGCCCCCTGAGTCTGTTGGGTTTATTGCATAGTCCCTCTTTTACTCACACCGGTGGAAACCTTTTCACGGAAGAACTGGGGCAGGGAGCTCGGAAGAGACCCAGGCCGTGTCCTGCCCCGAGTGGGGCCAGCTCAAGGGCAGGCACCGGAAGAGGCTCCTGGGCCGGGTGGGGGCTCTTCTCCATCTTCAGGTCCAAGCGTGAGACTCCCACCGCAGAGTGAGCCCAGTTGCAAACTGGACTTTGGGGAGTAGTGATACCATGTGGGCGTAGGTTCATCGCTCATACCAAACGTGCCCCTCTGGCGTGGGATGTGGTCACAGGTGAGGCCGTCCGTGCACAGTAGGGGTAGGGTCTAGGGGCCCTCTGTGCTTCCTGCTCACTTTTGCTGTGAACCTGAAACGCTCTAAAAAATAAGGTTTGGCTATTTTTTTTAAAGCACGTTCATGGTAGTACATATGCTGTGATCCCATTTATGTGAAAAACCACACACGTACAACTGCATCTATGAGTATATCTCCCTGCCCAGCTATGTGTGTTTGCATCTGTGTCTGGATCTGTTTTGTTGGTATAAGCCACAGGGGTCACAGCGTGACCACCAGGGCAAGGTTGGAGGAGGGGAGAGGCACCCTCCAGGTGCTCTACACTCTCTAACGTTTTAGCTTCTGACATTCACTTAGGCAAATAAGGTCCCCCAAAAAGGCGGGGGAGCTTGCTGCTGGGCATTTGTCTCTGGGTCCTCCTTTCAAAGAAACGCTAAAGGGGAATGTTGCCTGGAATTTTTTAAATACAGAGTTGTGATTTAAAAACACGTGTATTCATTCAAGAACTATTTTGAGTGCATCATTTGTGCCCCATTCTGTCAGGTCCTGGGGTGCCGGAGTGGAGGAGAAACAGCCCCCCTGATCCCAGTTCAGGGGGATCCCAGAGGAGAGTTGTTGTCTGAGTTCTTCTCCTCCCCTCTCCCGCCATCCCTGCAGGAGGCCTGCAGAGTTTGGGGAAGCTAACTGTGATTCCTTGTCCTCAGAGAAGCCGTGCGGAGACCCGCCTTCGTTCCCACACACCATCCTGCAGGGACGCACCGGCTTGGAGATGGGGGATGAGCTGCTGTACGTGTGCGCCCCGGGCCACGTCACGGGCCACCGCGAAAGCGCCTTCACCTTGCTGTGTAACAGCTGTGGGGAGTGGTACGGCCTGGTGCAGGCCTGTGGGAGAGGTAAGCCGCCCCTGGGCTGGGCCGCCTCCGCCTGCCCCCACACCACGAGCAGAGCCTCATGTGGGGGGCTCGTCTCCAGAAAGGTCCCTTTGACAAGGGGCTCTCAGACCTTTCCCCTGAGTTCTGGACCTGGCTGTATGTCCCCCTGCGTGTCCCTGCAGCATTTCAAGTGCAGTCTCCACACCTGAGCTCCTCATCATCTGTGCTGGAGGAAAGGTGACAGACCGCCTCTTCTGCCATAAGGACAGAGTTGACCTTGGGTGGAGGGTCTGGCTCATTTCCCTGGAAGCCGATCCACGTGGGGTGCCAGCTGTGGTTCCAAGCAACAAACTCTGGGTAAAAGTGACCCGTGATTGGTGAACAGGGCTGGGAGGACCATCGTGAACACGGGAGAGGCCCAGCTGGGGGCTTCCTTGAGAGGGTGACTCTGGTTCCCACACACCATGACCCTCGTGGGGACCCTGAGAAGAGCTAGTGGCTTGTGCCAGGGCATGGGGTTTGCAACCCAGCGTGGGTCCAACAGCCATGCACGAGAGTCCAATTCCCTTGCCCTTGAGCACTCACGGGAAGTGTTGGGGGCAAAGGGCGAAGGGCAGAGGGCAGCTCCAGGACAGCTGTGTGCACTGCCCCCCCAGCCGGCAGCCTGTGGCAGTCACGGGAGTCCGAGTATTTAGTTGAGACTAAAAAGGCTCTCGATGGGCCTCGAGCTTCCCAAACCTGATCAGATTGATTTGAACTGATTATTTACATAATTTAGGATTTCTTTTTTTCACATAAAACTTTCTTAACTAAATGTGTTGCCAGTCTTCTCTCTCATTCTGTGGTTTTTTCTTCTTGGAGTGTCTTGTGAAGAATAGTTTTTTATTATTGTCTGTTTTACTACTTCTCATATTTTCAGTGAACCATTAAATTTTTTTCCTAGTCCTTGGCAGGCTGATACTTTAGTAAAGTGCAATAAAGCAAATTAATAGAAGACTAAATTCAACAAAGATATTCCAAATATGAGCACAATTTTTTTGGTCAAATTAAATTCGCCTGTCATGTTTAAAAAGCTTCTACGATCTTCTCGGCAGTATACCTGCTTGCCTCGTCCCATACCAGGAACAAAACAATATAGACGGAGGTAAGTGCTAGAAGCCTTCTTGAGACAAGCTCCTAGCACCACGCTCTGTCGCTGCTGCTTTGCGGCAGGTGGGAGCTCCTTGCCAGCTCCGACCATGTGCCTGTCTGAGAAAATCAGGCCTCAGGCCCCAGCGCCTGCTCTGTTGAATGTGTCGGCCCCGAACTGAGCAGACGGGTGCTCTCCCAGGGATGCTGGGTCACGAGCTGGCTCTCTTTCAGCTCAGGCACTGAAGCTGCCCCATCCCCTGAGCCACACCCACCAGCCAAAAGGGTTGTTTACTGGCCCCAGCAGAGTGAGAACTAAATGCAGGTTTTGTGTGTCTGAAATGGTGTTTATTTCCTCGCTGCAAAGCCAGAGTTGTTAGAGCCTTCAGCTGCTGGGCAGGAATCCGGGTTTCTACACTTGGCCGAGCGTACAGGCGGTGACCGTCTTCATTCCTCTGCAGATTTAATATTTCGAGTCTCTGTGTCATTAGGAGAAGCGCGTGTGTGTTACAAGAATATCACCAGCAGGTCGTTTGCTCCGTTTTGCAGTAATTTTTCCAGTGAACCTCAACTTTTTAAATGAGAAAACTGCTTGACACTGGAGAAGAGTCATCTTGGGAGAGTGGGTCAAACAAGGCTTTCGGAGCCGGGCTCACCTGGGTTTGGATGACAACGTTCATTCCTCCACTCACTCCGCGGCCCTTCCCTGGGCAGAGGCCTGGGTGCCTTGGGTACAGAGTTGAGCACAGCTGCCCCTAATGAACCCAGGGTGCCTCAAAGGAGCCAGCAGAGCGGCAGGTGGGGAGGTAGAGGGAAAGCTGGGGAAGCTGGGGTCACAGAAGGTGAAATTTGAAAGGAGCCATGTGTTTGCAGATGGAAGAAATGCCCAAGAAAGGCACGGCCCACTAGACTGATGGGATCCCGCGGCCAAGCAGCGGGAAGCTTTCTAACACGCACCTCCCAGACTTCCTGTTCCCGGGGCCTCCGCTGCCTCAGTTCTCCAGGGAGTGCGCACCTCCTCTGTGCTGGGCCCAGCCGCCAACCCCGCCCGCACCTCGTGTGGCTGTCAGGGACTCCCCCACTCCCACCCCGAAACAGTTCTTTCTACTTCCTTACATGTCCTTACATTTTGTTATATTTCCTTGTGAGCTGCTAGAGCCCAGGCCAAGCCCTCTGGCGGAACCTGCCCATGTACACTGTTGAAGTGGCCGTAGGGTCCCTAGCCCCATCCCCTTCATGACTTCTTTCGGCCCAGAGAGCCTCAGGGCTCAGGGATCTTGGAGGTCAAGATTTAAAACAACTTGGTGCTCACACGACTGTGATCTCAGAGATTCTAGGGACTCGGGGCTCAGGGCTTCTGTGAAGACCATTTCAGTCAAATCTGTCACCAAATTTGGGGCATTTGAACACTGGCTGGCTGACTTGGGTCAGATTCTGTATTCAGAGGGCTGTAGTTGGTTGAGGGAGTAGGGAAGCAGGACAGGGAAGGAGAGAAAAGTGGAGGATGTGGCCTCAGCTGGATCCTGGCTCTGCCTGGTCCCACGGGGAGCGGTGGGGCGTGAGCTGCACCACAGGGTTGGTCCTGCTTGGAAGCGAGGGGCCCGGCCTTGAGTTCCTCCGTCCGTCTGTCATTGGCTGCAGGCTGCCACGCAGGGAGGGCAGAAGGCACGTAACCTCCCAAGTGAGGCTTCCACGGCAACAAGGGCCGTTTTCTAGAAAAGCTGTGAACCCTTAGCTGGTAACACAGCAGCTGGGAGGTGGGCGCACGGGCCTGCGGAAGGGGACCTGGGCAGGACACGTCCACCGCATCCACTGCAGCACTTGCTACAAGGGAGAACTGAGTTTCTCCATCACTTCAGTGGAGCGCGGGTCAAAAAAACAATCCATTAGTGAGGTTGCTGAAATTGAAAACTTATGACAGGCAGGAGTGAAGCCCTAGGGGTGCAAATGCCCAGGTGGGTGAATGAGGGGGCCGTGGGGGGAGATGCCTCAGCCCCACGCAGCCCCAGCTGTGTGCTCACCGCCACGGGGCGGTCCAGCCACAGGTGGCGGCTGTGAGGTCTCTCACTCACACGCGGGGACTTGGGCAGCCTCGACTATTGACCTCCATGGGTGAGGACTTATTTAACGGCCACTTCCTCCCCTCTGTGGGTAGGGTTTCTCTAGCTTTGGTTCCTAAGTCTGAGCCTGATTGTGGCCATTTAGTTTTCCATTCTCCTGTCCAAATCCACACATCTTCTTGGTTTCCATTCCCAGTCGGGCAGCGCAAAATGCCTGTCATACCTCTCCAATGTTCTCAGTATCTTAACTGTAATTGGTTGTTGCCCTAATTACAGAAAAACCCTGTTGCTTTGCTCCTTCGGTGTGGGTGCAGCAGACTTCCATGCTGGGTTTGGGTTTCTCTGGGCTTCTTGCTCTGCCAGGTCTTATATTCATCTTCAACGCCATGGTTTTTCTCTGACTGCTTACACCCTACGGCCAGTCTCTGACCTCCCAGCATTCCATCCCCCGCCCCCCCCACCCCCCACCCCGACCACTTAACCTGGGCATCCGTGCCTGCGCAAGTCTGCTGGTGGCCTTCCTAAGGAGCCCTCGTGGCTCCCTCGGCACCCTGACCCCTCCCCCACCCACTCTCCGGGCCTCACCAAGGCTTCCACACCACTGCACTCTTCTGACCTCTGCACGCGGGGGCCCTGTGGTCTCTGTGTCCTGTCGCCGGGGAGGCTTTTCATCCCATCTTTGTGGTTGGGGTGGGAGAGAGCAGCAGCCAAAGACAGACAGCCCAGGAAGTGAGAGACTCATGGACTTCCTCCTCTGGGCTTTGCCCTGTTGCTGCTCTAAAACTCCCTGACAAAGGCTCCGAAAGGCCTGCGACCCTTTCCACCCCAAGCGCTGTGGCTTCTGTTTGTACCTTCTGGTCTGTAGTGTCAGGAAAGTGAGTGACACGGAAGTGAGTTGGCCTCACCCGACCAGCCCCACCACCTGTGAGATCAGCAAGGAAAACACAGCCTTGGCCCCTCCCTGGGTCTGTCGCCGAAACGGGACACATTCTCCAGGTGGGCACCTGGGCATCAACCAGGCCACACTTGCTCCATACCGTCTCTATCCTAGGAACTACGTTCGTTGTTGTTCTGTTTTCTTAACAACCCTATTGAGGTGTCATTGGCCTACGGTACACTGTACCCATCTGAGGTGTAACAGTCTCTGAGCCGTCGCAGGCGTGTAACCCATGAAGCGACCGACACAACCAGAAGAGCACATTTCCGTCCTCCCCGCTTCTCCCTCCCTGCGCCCCCTTCTATGGGAGGAGTCTTCCACACTTGACTTCTCATTTCATCTTTACAAGTAGAAATGGCTTGTTGCAATGTACAGATGGGAAAACTGAGGCTCAGGAAGGTTCTATGACCTGCCTGCGTCTCACAGCCAGAAAGAAGCAGAGCCGAGACGGAAAACCAGGCAGGTCTCATCCCAACACCCGCGTCACGCGTGTCTGTCCCTCGGAGGCAGCCGACCCTCTGAGGAGCACGGCATCCGGGCAGTCCCAGGCCCTCCTCGCAAACTGGTCGTTTGCTCTTTCCTCTCCCTTCTAAAGCCTTTCTTTTGTTTCCTTAAATTAACCTCGGTTTCTGTTTTTCTTCATCTCTTGGACTAAACTTCCTTTAGAGAATAAAACACGAGACTGAAGCCGAACTCAGACGTTCCTCGTCAATATTGCCATATTTGTTCAGAGGTTCCTCGAGCCAGGGGTTATTTCTGGCTTGTCTGGGTGTCTTTTTCAAAATTACTATTTTTAAAGGCTGTGTAGCCAAGACCAGAGGGGAAAAAAGGAAGGTAGGTGTGGGCTTCCAGAAATGCAACAACACAAAGGAAGATGAAAGGCGCTAGGAGAACCCCAGGCCGCTGGGCTCACCCCTGACCCCGCTGCACCCTGATAATGCAGGCTGCACTCGAGCGAGCCCTCTCCTCTTGGGCCTGACTCCTGTCTCCCTGTGGCCTTCTGTTTGCCTAAAGCAACAGTTACACGTCAACACACAGGGATGGCCTGATTTTTGCCAAGAGAACCCAGGAAGTTCACATTTCCTGGGCCTCTTGGTCTAATTGACAAGCCCCCACGTTGTGTTTGCGCAGGCGGGTTTTGGGAGAGAGCGCGGGGCAGGGGAGAGGGGCGGGAAGGGTCGCTGGATGACGGATGACGAAGGAAGGAGGGTGAGCCCGGCAGGCTCGGGAAGGCAGAGGGGAGGGCAGAGACAGCACCTCAACAGGCAAAGGGCTGGGCTCCTTCGTCCAGTGGGCAGAATTTGATGTTTTGGTTGAAATTCAGTGAGTGACAAACTCGACTGTCACTCAGGAGGAGAAAAACAGGCTCGGGACACTTTTTCCTGAGCAGACTATTTATAAATGCTCGCTGTCCTTGTCTTCGTCTGAGGTTTCAGCACAGTGGGAACCTGTTTCCGAGCCAGAACCTCAGCTTGTGGAGACCGGGAGGGCCCAGCTTAGGGCCCTGGGCTGCCGTCCACACAGACCACACACACACACACACTCTCTCTCTCTCTCTCTCTCTCTCTCTCTCTCTGAGCTCAGGGTCTAGGTCGAGGCAGGCCTACTCATAGCCAGTGGGCTGGCCTTTCCCAAACCCTGAGCTCTAATTTTATACACTAGGCTGATGTTTCCCGCACAGGGAGGAAAACATGTCCTGTTCGTATTCTAGGTACCTTTCAACTTCATGATGTATTTAAGCTCATGGGGCGGGTTACCTGGGGAAAGGAATGTAGCAGACGCGGTTTGTGTTCAGTGCTAGAACTAAAGGTCCTTTACGATTCTTTGCTATTGTCATGTAGCAAATAATGCCCTGGCTGATCGACCTCCAGACCAAATCCAGCTTTATCGAAGTGGGCTTCCACAAGTCACTTATTCACCTCTTCACTCATGTATTCGTTCAACAAACGTTTATGGAGCGTCTGCTCTGGGCCAAGCACCTCTTCCCTTGTGTGCTGGGAATACAAGGCAGAGGGGACGTGTCCTTGCTCCCAGAGTGCCCGGGCTGGGAGGAGCTGGGCGGGTTTGCAGTGAGAACAGGGTGGCCTGCCTAGTGCAGGGTCACCGCCGGCACAGGCGGACTCTGTTCCAGTCGTTCCAGTGGGTAACGGGTGACTCCCAGTGAGACCATTTAAGGTCTGTCTCGAGCACCAAGGTCTGGTGTGGTTTCACCCTGTCCACGTAAGGGCAAGAAGTGTCTCTCAAATATTCTCAGCCAATCCCTGTATCGTAAATACCTCTTGCTTTACCAATGACAGCCCATCTCTAGTAGTTACCATAGTAGTTAATAGGCCACTACGGTCACCAGGAGGAAGCCATTTTAGATATTCAGGGTGCTGATTAGCAAAGCAATGGTTTTTTTCTTTCTTTTTTTTTAAAGCTTTTATTTATTTATCTTTAGAGGGGAAGGGAAGGAGAGAGGGAGAGAAATACCAATGTGTGGTTGCCTCTTGTGCGTCCCCTGCTGGGAACTGGCCCGCAACCCAGGCATGTGCCCTGACTGGGAATCAAACCTCGATCCTTTGGTTCGCAGGCCTGCGCTCAGTCCACTGAGCTACACCAGCCAGGGCGAAGCAATGGTTTTGATCAAGATGTAGATAATAGAAGTACTGGTAGCAGCCATGTTGCACATCAGGATGAGTTTCCTGATGAAAATGCTAACTTTCCACACTTCGGCTGTGAATTCTTGTCTGGAAGGCCAGTAGCAACTGGTTTATAGCTTAATGGGAGTAACATACAGTATCACAGTGTATTCTTGAAATATGTTTTTAGATTTTTATTTATTTTCAGAGAGAGGGAAAGGGAAGGAGAAAGAGAGGAGGAGAAACATCAATGTGTGGTTGCCTCTCACATTCCCCCCCACTCCGTGCCACCGGGGACTTGGCCTGCAACCCAGGCATGTGCCCCGACTGAGAATCGAACCAGCGACCCTTTGGTTCACAGGCTGGTGCTCAATCCACTGAGCCACATCAGCCGGGGCTATTCTTGAAATATTTCAAAGTACAAACATCCTTAAAAAACAAAGGATGCCTACTATCTTTATAATTGAGTGACATCTTAACAAAATATAATATTGTTGAATTACATTTTCTTTCCCTCAGTGATTATAGACTTTGTTCTCCTGTCTCATACGGAATGCCGAGGAGAAATGATAGGCAAGCCTGATTTAATTTTTGTTCTTGCTCTTGACTTGCCTTTTCTGCCTGGTTATCAGTTGAATCATTCTTTTTAAACTTGGCATTTGAGAGCTAAATTCTGTGTCATTTTTTTCTGGAACATAGTGTGTGTTTTTGATCATCTGTTTAAATATTTATTTAAGAGTGACATAAAAATACAGAACATTTCAAAAAGCAAAGGTTATAAAGCACGATGCATTACCATATCATAAACACATCCGTGCAATCCTCACCCAGATCAAGAAGTAGAACATCACCAGCAATCCAAAGACATGTGACGTTCCCTCCCAGTCACTACCTCCCCGGAATAACCACTCCAATTTACTCTATAGCCATGAATTACATTTCCCTAGCTCGAACTTCATTTCAGTGGAAGCACAGAGTGTGGACTTCTGAGTACAGCTTCCTTTGCCCAACATGATGTCTAGGGGGCCCATCCATCTTGTTCTATGAAGCTGCAGTCCATTCTTTTCTTTGCTGTGGAGTATTCCATTCTACTGTTGAACATTTCTGTCGTTCCCAGTGGGGGGCTATTCTACAAACATTCTTGGACAGGTCTTTTGGTGCCCATGCTGCCCCCACTCTTCTGAAGTGCATACCAAAACCTTAAATTGTTCCGTCATGGGGTATGTATGTGTCAACTGTAGTAGATACACATACAGGTCGGAAGTTCCGGGAGCTCCATATCCTCACCAGCTAGTGGTATTGTCAGTCTTCTTAATTTTGGGCATCCTGATGTACGGGTTGCAATATCACTTCATTCGATTTTCCCCTATTATTAACGATGTTGAGCACCTTATGTTTATTGGCTAATTGAGTATCTCATTTGTGTAGTGGCTATTAATTCTCTCACCCATTTTTCTACTAGGCTGTCCACTTATTTCATATTGCTTTGTAGCTCATGGTATTATTCTCCATACGTGTCACTGTCGAGTCTCTATTGAGTAGTGGAATTGCTAGGCCCCAGAGCATGCATATGTTCAATGTCAGTTGTCCATAATTATGGCTCCAATTCACACTCCCACCAACGACGTGCCCATCCTTGTAAACACTAGATACTGTCCGCCTGCTTCATTTTAGCCATTCTGGGACTGTGTGATGGTATTTCATGATGGCTATAATGAACCTTTCTCTATTACTAGGAAGGCTGAGCATCTTTACATGTTTAACGACTATTTAGATTTCTTTTTAGTGATGTGCCAATTCAAGTATCTTGCCAACTTGGCTATGGTCTGTCTGCCTATTTAGTACACATTTGTTGGAGTTCTTTATAAATTCTGGATTCAAGCCCTTTGGAGAGTATATGTATTGCAGATATCTGCAATGCTGTGGCTTGCATTTTGACTCTCTTCCTGGAGGCTTTAAATGAACAGAAGTTCATAATGTTAGTGTAATCCCATGATCAATTCTTGTGCCAATACCACAGGCTTAACTAGCACTGCAGTTTTGTAGAAAACCGGGAAATCTTGTACTGGACATCCCACAGCCTTTTCCTTTTTCAAGAATGCCTTGTCTATTCTCGGCCCTTTGCACTTCCGTAAAGTTTAGCATCAGCTTGTCAATGTCTCAGATTTTTTAAAAGATTTTATTTATTCATTTATTTATTTTTTAGAGAGGGGAAGGGAGAAAGACGGAGAGAAACATCAATGTGCGGTTGCCTCTCACACGTCCCCTACTGGGGACGTGGCCCGTAACCCAGGCATGTGCCCTGACTGGGAATCAAACTGGCGACCCTTTGGCTTGCAGGCCAGTGCTCAATCCACTGAGCCACACCAGCCAGGGCTCAGAATTTTTTTAGGATTGTATTAAATGTAGACAGATCAATTTGGGCAGAATTGATGACAGTTTTGAGCCTTCCTTACACTAATGTGGTCCATCCCCTCATTTATTTAGGCTCCCTTTAATTTTCCTCAGCAATATTTTGTACCATTCCATATAGAAGTCTAAATCTTTTGTTAGATTTATTCCTAGGTGTTTGATTTTTTTTTCAGTGTTATGGCAAATGGCATCTTTTTAAACCTTTATTTTGTGTTTATTGCTGGTATGTAGAAATACAACTGGCATTTTATATGGACTGCAGGCCCAGGGCTCTTGAACACAAATTGATTAGAATGGCTTTTCTATGTAGATGCTTTGGGCTTGTCTGTCATACACAGTCATATCATCTGTAAATGACAGATTTATTTAATCTGTTTCAACCCTTACGCTTTTCATTTGCCTTTCTCACCTTCCACGCAGGCTCTGTGACCTTGAACCTAACGAGGCTGTTTTCCCCCTTTCCCTCCAGATGAGGCAGAGGCCCATATTGACTATGAAGATAATTTCCCCGACGACAGATCCGTGTCATTCAAAGAGCTCACGGAGGACTCCCGGACAGAGGCAGAGGGGGCCAGGGGTCCAGGAGAGGCCTCTGAGCAGGTTCCAGAACAGGACCGTCTGGTCTCTGTTTCTGCAGGCAGAGAAAATGTAGCCCGGGACACAACCGGGGTGCCAACCACAGGCCCGCCCGGCACCAGCCCCGGGAGCAGCGCCCCCACGGGCCTGCCAGGACCCATACTGAAGGGGAAGTACTTGTTCTGGCTTCCTGCTGAGACCTTTCACAAGCTTGAGCTGGAAAAGGAAGTGGAGGATGACACCAAGAAGCAGTTCCTTGCTGGGGACAACCACAGCATCATGACGCTGGCCCCAGGTGAACCCGAAACCAAGGTGACTTCTAGCAGCACGGATGGTTCCTCGGGGCCATCTGTGGTCAGGAATGACAGCAGGGCGGGGGACCCAATGGTGAGCAGCAGCGATGAGTCCTGGTTGGACGGCTACCCTGTGACCGATGGGGCTTGGAGGAAGATGGAGGAAGACGAGGAGGAAGCGGAAGAAGATGGCGACAAGGGGGATGGATCCGTAGGGCAGGAAGAATGCGCTGTATTTACCCCCCATCAGCCCTTTCTTGTGGAAGTTAAGAAGCGCAGCAGCACCACCCTCACACCAAGCGAGGACGTGACCCGTAGTTCAGTTCTTCCATCTCAAACGCTAGATGTAGAGGCTTTTGCTCTCAGACCCAAGAGTGTGTCTGAAACCGAGGGACCCACCGAGGGGGATGGTGGCTTACCCAGGTACCAGCAGTCAACTGTTCCCTGGAGATTCGCCACAGAGAGGTCTCCCGTGGCCACCCTGTCCTACGAACTCGCCAGCTCTACCCTGGAGACAGAAACAAGTGCTGTCCCAAAGACCCCTCCCCACATTCCCTCAACTGTCACGGTGGCCACCCAGACGCCCGGCGAAACCAGCGCTCCCGAGGTCCAGGATAACTTCCCATACCTGCTGTCTGAAGACTTCTTGGGACAGGAAGGCCCCGGCCCAGGTGCAAGTGAGGAGCTTCTTCCCACCTTGGAGCCCTGTGTGGGAGACGAGTGTCCTGGCCTCAGCAGAGGCCCCATCGTGGCCACCACTGTCACCGTCCTGTGCCTGCTGCTGCTCTTGGCAGGCGTGGGGGCCGTGTGGGGCTACCGCAGGTGCCAGCACAAGAGCTCCGTGTACAAGCTGAACGTGGGCCAGCGGCAGGCGCGGCACTACCACCAGCAGATTGAGATGGAGAAGGTCTAGCCACCTCCAGAGCGGGCACTCCCAAAGCCACTTGGTAGGGATACGTACAGTGACACGTCACACTGATCAGCACTGACACTTCCCTAGAGCATGAGACAGGAGGCGTTGGGCTTGTCTTTCTTCCTCGGGTCTTTGTTCTGCAGGCCGAGCAGGATCTCTGGAGGCGCCTGGCAGGGAGGTCTGGATGGCGTCGTCACGCCCGTCCACAGCTCCTCAACCACCCGCCCTGGAACGAACTGCACTCGTCCACGGCCTGGGCCTGGGCCCTCATTCCACCACGAGGTCCAAGCTCACCTCCTGCTTCAACACACTATTGTCTTCTTTTCTCTTGTTAAGCAATAAGATGAGTGACTCCGTGACCTGACATTTTTGAAACAGGTGTGATAACCGGAGCATTTGAGAGCAGTGTTATTTAGGAGAAGTGACATATATTTAAAGGTTGGGAGTGGGATATAGAAGAATAATCGGTTATTTCCTTTTAATGTGACGTTGCTGAGGGCAGATGAGCTAAGCACCAGGACATAGTCTAGAAGCTCTGAGACTTCTTTTTAATTGTTTGTTGAAATTGGAGAGAATTTAAGACTGACATTTTGTTGGCAGGGGCGGGGGTGGGGTGGGGTGGGTAGGTTGTGTGGAGTAGCCGGACACACGTCCCTTCTGTTCCCTCCTTTCTGTGGGGCCGCCCATCGTTTTTTGAAAGACAAGGTTAGCTTTGTACCGGTCAACACCACTTCCTCTCGGAAGAAGTGGCCTAGTTGTCCTTGACCAGTCTCTGCCTAGGAATGTCTTAGAATTTTTGCCAGGACTAACAGAACTCAGTCCTTGGTTTCCTCTCTCAGGATTAACCATTTCTTTGAACTTCAGTAATAAGGAATGACATGGGAGGGGGAAAAAACGTTTTAAGAGGGCTGAGGACTAGGCTACCTGGTGTGGGTACCTACATGATGGAGAAGCACAGAAACTAAGATGATGAAACGGTCCCTGCTGCTCCATTCTTCACTCTCTTGTGTTCTGTGGACACAGCATGAGTCCAGGATGGCCTCATCTGGCTGTCGAGCAACCCATTTCATAGTATCCGGGTCATCTCATGGTCGCTCAGCAAGCACTGTGTATGACAGTGTTTCTCAAAGCGTGGTCCTCGAACCAGAGGCATTATCACCACCCGGAAACTTGCTGGGGCTGCAGATTCCCTGGTGCCTCCCCACCCTAGACACTGAAGCAGAAACCCTGGGAGCGGGGCTCGGCTCTGCATTTTAACCAGCCCTCCAGGTGCTTTAACCGAACGCTGGAGTTTGAGAGCCATTGGTTTCCAATGAGTTTGAGCTTGGAGGCCTGCTGAAGCTCTGGAGGCCCAGAAGATGAGGAACCCCTGGGGTCTGTCTTGTACGGAGGTCAACATGCTACAGAGGGAGCGCTTGAGGCTGGTGAAATGCCATCTTCAGTGGTCTCCTGTGCATTGGCATAGAAGCAAAACACAGTACATTTTTCTAATATGAATCACCTTCTTAGAAATCGTTTCCATTGATAAAAAGTGATGAAGGCATACATTTATTTTGAGACTAAGAGTCTAAGTTTTGTTGTATCTCAAGAGAGAGATCCTGAACTTGTTTGTAAGTGAAAAGTTGTTAGGAGTGTTTTAGCTAAGGAAACAAATGAATTCCTGAAACATGTTTTCTACTCCACCACCTCTTTTGGGTGCATGCTTTGGATAAATAATAGTCTCAGTAGCTATAAAGACACTACAGGAAACTGAAAGACCTTAACCTCCACGACCGGGTAAAACGAAGACCAGAAGGCATCGGAGGGAGCACCTGTCTGCCAGATGAAATCGAGAACAAGAAGAATGAAATGCTTTCTGCAAGTAGCCAAAGCAAAACACAACAGAATAAAAGCCAGAGACTGTATATATTTATAAATTAGATTCTTTTCTAATCTATAAGATACCTTTTCTATTTTTAACTGTATAAAGTAGCCTCCGTCTCAACATTAGGATTGTGTTATCCCACTATTATGTAATAACCCAAGAACATTCATGTCATACCAACCCCACAATAGGTCGTATTAATACAAACGTGTTAATAAATGTATTGCAAATATATTCATACATGTAAATGTACTGTTTTGTAGACATAAACTGCAAAATAAGCCCAACATGTAAGTTTTGAAGTTTTCAATGATTTGGTGTCATCTAAATTGACGTCGTGGGATCTAAAAACACATGCAGAGAGGGAATGATTAAAATACCGTTGTTATGTGTGTTTTGAGACTAGTCAATGTTTAATTTGCATGAAAATGGGGGGCCCATTAACACAGAGCTTCTGAGATATTTAAAATAAATGATTATTTCCCCAAACGGTCGCTTAATGTGTTTTATGCCTAGGCTACATCACAGTGACTTTTTCTTGTAAAAAAAAAAAAAGGTCGAATAATCTTGAAAATAATGTCTTAAAACTTGCTCAGGCTGCCCATCCTCTAAGCCTAACTCTCCCGGCAGCAGGATTTCGGGGGGAGCCTCCAGAGCCCCAGCCCCGCCCTCACCCAACCAGGCATTACTCATCACTTGCATAAGGCTTTGCTTCAAGGGATCCAGACCCAAGACATCTGTCAACGCACAGACTCTTCCTCCCGCCGTCACCACTGCTCAATCCAAACTTTTCCACTGACATCAACAAAATCTGCGTCAGCCTCCTCCTCCAGAAGTTCAGGTTTGAACTCTCCCCACCGTGGGTCTCTGTTTTCGCACCGGCCAGTTCCTCATTCTTTCCACCTGCCTCCTTCCACGCTCTTCGTTTTCTCCTTGCCTGCCCTTCGTGACCTGCGCGGAACATGGTGGCTGTTGGCAGTCAGGCCCGAAGATGAGTTTGGGCCTTGTTTAAAACAGTGAATATTCCTTCCCTTCTGAGACGCTGGCAGCGAGGGAACAACTCATCAAACCCAGAGCCAGCCCTGGATTTGAAAAGGTTTTTCCTAATGGAATCCCAGGTCTCTTTAAAAAAAAAAAAACCTTCCTTGGGAGAGCGAGCCTCTCTCTCCCCTGAAAGGCTCTCGGCCTGCCTCTCTCGAGCAGGGACCACTCGCTGCCTGAGACCTGAAAGTCCTTGGGGTGAGGCTCCTGCTTTGCTAGGTCAACGTCAGAAATCTCAGTGACCTGAGAAAACAGAGCTCATTAGAACATGCATCCCAGAGCAGCTGGGTGTGATTCGGACAGCCTCATCCAGTGGATAGAGAGAAAAAAGAGTAAAAAATAAGCAAAATGGTTAATGTGATTTTTTTAAAAAGAAATCATTGTTTTCAACCATTTCCTAGGTCCCGCAAGAGTGACATTGCATAAACTGCCTTACCCCGGGAGGAGGGGTGGCACAGACACCAGCCCCCTCTCTATCAGCAACCTGTATGTCTTGGCCTACTGACGGCCCCCCTGCAGTGAGCAGTAAGGTGCTGGGACTGATCTGTTGGCCAACCTGCCTAATGCGTTCCTGTCCTTGTCTTGTAAAATGAGGCACCAGCATCTTACCCTATCAGCTCCGAGAGCATAATGAGCCAACCCATTTATCCACCAAAGCCGGGTCTTGGAGAGGCCATCCCCTAGCACTTGGAGGCCCCTAGCACTTGGAGGTGCCAGGGGATGGCCACTTAGACGCCTGCCCTAGAGAGAGAAGCACTTGACAATGGCACAAACCACAGCCATTCCTGACCCTGAATTCTGGGGTAGGAGAGGGTCAGTCAAGGCGAAGCTGGACCGCACTGGTGTCTTCCTTCTCCTGGAGATGCCACGGGCTCAGGGCGGGCAGCAGCCTTGCCCGGCTGCAGGCACAGGAAGTCCAACGCACAAAACCTTTGGCTGAGACTTATTTAAGGTTCCTCTCCTCCCCCCCCCCCCCCGCCCCTTGTATATAGTTTAAACTCCCCACACTAGGTCATTCAAGCCTGGAGTCACCAGAAAAAAGAAGTCGCTGTTTGGGGGATGGCAGATGATCAAGAGTTCAGACAGCTGCGATGAAGGATTAGTTGTGGGTTTTTCTCCGTGCCTCGCTGCGGCCTGTGTTGCAGTCCCGTGTGCAAACACTATTAAATGAGAATGTTTTCTCTGGCTCCACTCCACCTTCTCCCCACAGTTTCACTATTGAAAAAAATTTTTTTTGCTGTTTGAAAAACTGAAGGCGCTCAGGTTTACAGCTCACATTTAAAACTTAAAAACGTTATTTCCATAAATGTTGGCAGAAACTGGCCACTGTTTATCCCACCAGCAGTCATAATAAACCCTTTCCCACTGACAATCTAACAAATCATTTTCTGTTTGCCACGGAGTTTGGTTCAATACAATTTTTGTGCTTTTAACATTCCCCAAGTAAGAACTCCTGAAAGCAACCTTTCCCAAGGCAGCCTTTGTGGTCAGTGTACACAGTGGTACTCGGAGATCCTGGAGTGGGGGCGACAGGTTCGTGGTGGTAAATAGAAAGTCTTGAGACTCAGAAAGATGTTAGTACATTGAATGTATTGGTACATGAGATTATCCAGACAATTAGTCCCTTTTAAACCTATGTGTACACACCAATCATCAACAGGGGCCGCAAGGAGGAGCCGTTGGACCCCACCCAGTGGGTGCCCCTGCCCGGGTTGCCAGGGTGGCAGTGTGGCTGGACAGATCCCCCCACCCCCAGGGCGGGCGGCCTCCCTGGGTAGACCAGCCTGAGGAAGCCAAACACTGCACACGTTTGGTGGGTCGGAGGGCAAGTCAGGCATCGTAGGCGGGTCTGGAAACTCCCACAAGGCTCACACATAGGTTTGTTTTTTCAAAAGACAGACCAAACTGAGACTGAACCCATGAGGTCTCAGTACAAGAATTTTCTAGGCTCTTCTAAGACACCCATTCAGGGAGGCGCTGGGCTGAGGTCACTGAGTGCCACCTGCACACTGGGGTTTCATGGTAGGTTTGGAGGAATGGGCTCATCTATCTATATATCTATATATATCTATATCTATCTATCTATATATATACATATATATATAGATAGATAGATAGATATATGTTGGTTTGGTCTCCTTTGAAATAAAAAGCTCAGTAACTCAGTTCTACACCCTTCAATCAAAGCAAAGTGCTGACAATGTTCACCATCCCATCCCAGGGTTTCTTTCTCGGGAGCCATTACTAGGATGGGGGTGGAGGTGCCGTTCAATCCCCAGTGGAAAGAAGCCAAGGTCAGAGAGTGAATGAGGACCCCGCCACTCGACCCGCAGAAGTGTATTTCCCCGCGGAAATACATCCTCCACAGAAAGCCCAGCCCAGGCTCAGGACCAAAGCAAGAGGACCAAATGGGAGCTCTGCAGGGCACAGAGGTGGAGTCAAACCACCTCGCCCAGCCCTGTCCCCAGGGTGGTCTCCTTGCACTTTTTCACATGTCGGGCGGAGGTCCATGGCAGCCTGGTGCGTCAGGAGAGTCACACAGCTGCAGGGTGCACCACCTTCATGACTCAGAAATGCCGGGAGAGGGCACTCACTGGGTCCCCCTCTACTTCATAGTCCCAACTGATGATCTTCTTCCCCACTGACGTCAAAAGAAGCTTCTTTGGTAGAGTAGAGGGTGGGACAAGGGAAGAAAGGAGAACCCAGCATCTCATGGTTGGAAGCCATAGGGGATCTGACTCATCACTGGGCTGAGGTGCCTTGACTTTGGACTTCATTAACGGCAATAACGGACTCTTTTGGCCATACAGCCCCCTGGGCAAGTTCAGCCAAAGCCACAATAGTTGGGTAGCCTAGAAGATCTTGACAGGAGGACTTAGTGCAAAAGTGAAAAAGGCAGGGCTCTCAGGAGAAAGGGGATGAAGCCACAGGATAGGACCGAAGGAGAAATAAGGCACGTTCAGGTTCCCAGAGGCTGCAATAGTGAGAGATGAGGGGAAAGGAAGCCTGAAAAAGCAAAAATGTGTTTCCCACTGGCAGTTCATCAACCCTACACTGAAGACCCCAAACTCAATGCCCTTTCAGTCCATTCTAGACCAATGTGGAACAGTCCTGTCTGCTCCTGCCTCCATCCCCCGGAGCGTGCCAACTAGACTAAGCAGCTCATTGGCGGAGAGAATGAAGCTGAATGACAGGAGCTCAAATCCCAGAACACCTCACTCTCCTGTTTCCTTCGGTCTCTTCTCAGTCTGAAGGCAGCTCCTTCTCAGTCTCTTCAGTGGGTTTCTCGTGGCCCAGGGGACCCAGGGGCTCCATCCCTGGCCCTTTTCTCTTGCTTCGCAATATATACAGTCAAGATGACCCCATCCAGCCTCCTGGCTTCAAGTACCATTTACATGCAGATGGTTCAGTAGTGGGCACTGTGGATCTCCTCCCAGGTCCCTTCACAGGGCCAGTACCCCCATCCTTCCTGCCTTCCCACCTTCCCTCTGGGCCTGCCTGTTGGCTGCCAGTGGTTCATAGTCCCTTCTCCAGAGAACTGGGCTAACCAAGCCACCTGTTTTCAAAGGCACCCCCTCCCCGCTAAGGCACAGTCAACAACTAACTGATGGAGGCTTTCATGGCAATTAACCACATGCATCCAGACCCCTGTCTCGGGCTCTGCAGCAGACCAGGCCTGAGAAAACTCAAATTTCACTTGCAGCCTGAACCTCTCACCCCAAACCCAGCCTGCTTTGTGCTAGATTCTGTACTTATCCATCCCCCCATCTTCCCCATCTCCAGAAATGGCAATTCCATCCTATCTGTTAATCAGGCCAACAACCTTGAGGTCACCATCCAATCTGTTAGCAAATTCTACTGGCCCTGCTGTCAAAGTAAAGGCACAAGCTGAGCATTTAGCTCATCATTTCCATGACTACCTCCCAGGTCCAAGCCTGCATTCCCTCTGCCTGGAATTTTGCAGGAGCCTCCCAACCCATACGCCTGCTTCCACTTTACTCGCTTTCAGGGTTTTGACAATATGATGGCCATAATAATCATTGCAAAATGGAAGTCAAGGCACTCCTCTGCTCAAACCTTCCAGGGGCTTCCACCCCGGTTAGAGAAGCCAAAGGCCCTACATACTGAGCAAGGCCCTGGGCCATCTGTCCTCCCCCCACTCTGCCATACTTACACATCTCGAGCCTCTTGTCCTTCTGTCCTCCCCCTTGCCCACTCACCTCCTGGGCCTCCTCGCTGGTGCCTGATCACAGCAAGCGTGTTCTCCCTGGAAAGTATTGCACGTGCTGTTCCCTCTGCCTAGAATGCTTTTCCCTGTGGTCTCTGCTCTGCTGTCACCAGAAGCCTTCCGTGACCACCCTCCTTAAAACTGCAGCCCCATCTCCAGGCTCCCCTACCACCTTGCCTGGTTTATTTTTCTCCACAGCAGTTATCACCCTTGACACCCTCCCCATATTTACTCCTGTTTACTTGCTGTCCGTCTCTCCTTGTAGAATGCAGGCTCTGTGAGGGCAGAGACTTTTTTCCTTTTATTCTGTGCAGAATCTCCAGTTGGCAGGTCAATGCCTAGCACGTAGGAGGTGCTCAATAAATATTTATTGAAGGAACACATGAAACAAGACTCCCTCTGCTTTCTGCCATTTCCAACGTGGTGCCTGGCAACTGGGTCTTTTCCTCAACTGGAACAGACCAACCACCATAGGACTTAGGAGATGCAAATGTGTGGAGCAAAAGCCATAGTTCTGCACTGCACGCCGTCATCCAACTTCTTTTTCAGGGGGTGCCAGAAATGGTGCAGGTCAGACCACGTGCAGACCGCCACGGACGTGTGGAAGTTTAGCCCTTGTCTTCCACCAGCTTTCCTGGATGGGGGCACAGGGGTAAAAAAGACTAACATCTGGAAGAGCAGAAAGGTCCAAGTAGGTTTTCACAATTTATCATCTTTTAGGAGTATTTTTCTTATTTAAAAAATAGTATTAAGTTTTTCTGGAGAAACAAATAGAGACTCTCCTTCCGACCACAGTGGCGAGAAAGGCAGGTATGAACATGGAGAAAACAGGTGTGAAGAGGGGGAGGCAGGTGGGGTCACGGGGAAGGCAGGCTCACCCCTTGTTATGTGGAGTGAGAGATGGGGCTTCCCTTTCACTTCCCAGAGTAAAGAGAAGGCTTTGAGGTATCAACAACTTGGGCTACGGGGAAAGGGAAGGCGAAGAATCTGTGTTTCCTGAACGTCAAAGGGAAGTCTCTCTGGCTGCTGTGGACTAGCTGGTCTCCTCCAGCTCCAAGAGGTCATCCACGTATTCCACAACCTCCCCCTGTAAGAGACAACAGGACACCTCTGTTACACGGGCTGCCCAGCTTTAGGGGTGCTGGTGAGCAGAGACTGTTTTTGAGGGGCCACTGCCAGCTGCCTGCTGCTTGGGCTGCAGCAGCCTTCCCCCTAGTTCTTGGGCCGAGAACCGGGCTTCTCCCTGGGAAGGCACCTGGCTTTCACTGCATGTGAACTTGGAGTCAAGCCTTCTGCAGCCCCCACAGATGGCCAGCGTGAGGTGGGCAGTCCAGCCTCCGAAACACCCTGCTCAGTGCCTCCCTCCCCACGCCTCTGCCGTGCCATCAGCAGTCATGCCGTAGGAACACAGACTGTCCCTTCCTTTCCTCCCTGATCACCAGCCCACGAGCTTTTCAAGGACCAGGATCTGGGTTCTTTTCCTGAAGTAATTTCCTCATCGGTGATATGCGAGAGCTTTACTGAATCCTCACAATAAAACTACCCAACAAAGTAGGAAGAGAACATCCTCAGCCTGACGGTGGGAACGACGAGATCGAGTTTTCTATGAATATCATGGTGATTTTACTTCTTTTCCAATCTGGATGGCTTTTGCTTATTTTTCTTTGCAAACCGCCCTAGCTAAAACTTCTAGCACAGTGTCAAATAGAAAGAGAGAGAGTGGACATTCTCATCCTATTCCCAACCTTAGAAGAAAAATGTTCTGTTTCAGCATTTACTATGTCGTTAGCAGTCAGGTTTTTTGCATGTCGATGTGCATGCATTATATGTAAAACTAACTCAAAATAGACTGTAGTTCTAAATGTAAGCGCTAAACCTATACCAATCTTAAAACATAGGAGTTGTGAACTTGGATTAGGCGATCATTTATTTCTCTGATATTACACCAAAAACACAAGTAACAAAACCAGATAAGTTGGATTTCACCAAAATTTAAAACTTTTGTGTGTTAAGACACCATTAAGAAAATGAAAGAGACAACCCACAGATTGTGAGAAAATATCTGCAATTCATACACCCGGCAGGGGACTTACAGTCAGAGCATAAAAAGAACCACTACAACTTCACAGTGAAAAGACGGGTAACCTGATTAAAAAATGGGCGAAAGGTCTGAATAGACGAGCCAGCTCTCCTGAGAAGACACACAAACAGCTAATAAGCATATGAGAAGATGGTCAACATCATTAGTCACTAGGGAAATGCGAATCAAAGCCACAGTGAGACACGGCTTCCCACCTACGAGGATGGGCGGCTATAATAGAGAAGGCCAAGGCCATGGTGTTGATGGTGAGGTAGCAGATTGGTACCCTCCCACGAGGCCGGTGGGGACGATCTGGCAATTTCTCAACGAGTTAACCAGCAGTGGCCAACCAATTCTACTCCTCGTTATAAACCTAGGTATATACTCCTGGGCATGAGAACTGAACGTTTTTGTCCAAATAAAAATTTGGACACAAATATGTTCATAACATCATTATTCAAAAACAGCCAAAAAGCGGAGACAACTCAAATGGCCATCAACAGAGGAACAGATAAACAAAACGTGGCACATGAATGTGGAATGTTAATCAGTAATAAAAAGGAATTTTTACATATAACATGATACGTGTTATGACATGGCTGGACTTGAAAACGTATGCTTCGTAAAAGAAGCCAGTCATGAAAGACCACATGTCATGGGATTCTTTCATATGGAATGTCCAGAAGAGGTAAATTCAGAAACGGAGAGTAGATTCGGGGTTGCCGCGGGCTGGGGGCAGAGGTGAGAGAAAGGTGAGCAGAGGGCAGAGAAGTGACTACTAATAGGCTTGGGGTTTCTTTTTGGGGAGATGAAAATGCTCTAAAACTGGATAGTCACGTTGCATGTACAACTTCATGCATATACTGAAACCCACTGAATCGCATACTTTAAGAATAATTTTATAGTGTGTGAACAATATATTAATAAAGCTACTCTAGAAAAAACTTAACAAGGAAAACTGCTCATATTACAGTGTTAAATGGAACAGCCATGATATATAATTACAGTTGAGTTTATAATAAATATATGCTGGGAAATGTGCAGAAAAAACTGGAAGCATATATACCAAAATATCAATAGTAGCTTGTCTCTGGATGATCGGAAACTCAACTCCTCCCTCTTTTCGGAAGGATATTTTCCTCCACTTTACAAACCACAGCAGCTGACTCTGTTTGAAGGTCGGTAGCACCTCTTCCTTCGCAGCCTACTGAGACTCTCAGAATCTGGGTCAGTGGAACCCAGCCCGAGACCCACAGCAGGAGTCTCACTCCCTAGTTCACAGAGCCCGTCCATGGACAACCTAGTGTTTCATTCCCCCAACCTTGTGGGGTCCGTACTATTAGTCCCCTTTTATACGTAAGGGACTGAGGCTCTGGGGAATTAAATGAATGGTAGGGATATGTCCATCCCACGCAAATTCATGCCCAGAAATCAAATTCTGGGATGATGCATTATTTAGCACTGTTTCACGGGAACCCGGGGCAGTGGGAAGAGCAGATGTGGAGGCAGGGGGCCCCCGGGTCTGGCCTAGCAACTCACAGAACTTTCCTGTCCCCCAAGCTCCTCACCCATGAAGTGAGGGGTCCGACCTGAAAAAGCTCACAGCTCTCTTCCGACTCCGAGGGCTGGCATGTCCCAGCTGTCTTAGGGAGCATTTCCCAGTTTGCTCCAAACGCAGCTCTCTAAACGCTACCCCTAATGATGGCTTCACTGGGACGAGGCCACCCAGCCACACACACAGTCACTACTCCGTCAGCGACAAAGGAGTCAGCTGAGTGAGCGTCAGGATTAGAGCAAGGACCTCATTGACAAAAAAAAAGATAACCTCCTATAAAAATCAGGATGGGTGTTTCCAAGTGTCTTCAGCATGATGAGTCATTGAAAATTCACTGTGTTTCGATAAAGTAAAAAAAAGATGGTTGGACGGCTCTCGATTTCTGGCGCATCGCACCATCCCACTGTTGGGGGGTGCGGCCCTTCAGCCGAGGTCCTGGAAAGCCCGTCCTCCCCACGCCAGTGCTCTGACTTTCATTAACACGCCCACAGAAACTGCGTGTCTCAAGGTCCCCCTTCTGTTTCTTATTTCAGGGATGACTCGCCTTCCAGTGATGTTCAGCGAAGACGTGAGTAATATTTTCTCCTAGCCAGATGTGTGCTAACTATGAAAACTTACCTCATCATCATCCATTATATTTTCCTTTGCAAAGTCATACAGCTCTTTCTGGAGCGTAGTCACGTTAAAGAACTGAACCGCTTCCTGTTCGGACACAGACAGAGAAGAGTATGTATGACCAACCTTTTTATGGTAGAACTGGGAGGAGGCATAGGAATTTTTTGGGGGGGGGAGTTGGTGAGGAAAATAATTAAAATTATATAGTGGTCATGGGCACACAACTCTGTGAATATAATATAACTGTGGTGTATGTAGTTTAAAAGTGTGAATTTTATTGTATTTGACTTATGTCTCAATTTTAAAAAAAGAGTGGCCAGCCCCTAGTGAATGAGACATGTATGAGGGGAGGGGCGTGCGTGGGGGCAGGAAGTCATGGGGGCAGGGGCGAAGGAAGACCTGTGACCGGCAAACCAGGACGCCACACAGAAATCCCAAGGGAAGTGCAAGTTAAGAACAAAGATCATTTAGAAAAGACCTTTTGAATGTAATTATAACCCACGGTGTTCCAAACACATGGGAAGCTGAGCTCGTCCATCATGGGAAGTAAATGATGGTGCATCCATTAACGAGCCTACTGTGATGCAGTTACAAGTGATAACAAAGGAGGCGTGTGGGCGTGACCTGGACAATGTTCCTGATGAATCTTTAGAAAGACAAAGCAAGTTTCTGGGCCAAGGGGTGCAGGTGTGCAGATGATGTCCCGGTGAGTTTGTACCCTTGAACTCTGCATGGTTTTGGGAACCAAAGTCACCCCAGGAAATTCAATTAAAACAAAAGCAGGGCACAAAGCTGTGTGTGAAGTATGAGCCCAATTCTGTAAAAATCAGAGAATTCACGCTGTACAGATGACTCAAGCACAGCTATAGGCAGGGGATGAGGAGAAGGTGTGGAAGGATGGAGCGATTTCACGTTCTAAGTAAAATACTTCTCTAATGTTTGAAATCTGGTTTAAAAATCAGAATAGAGCAGTAAAATGTCAAAAGATGATAACAGGGAAAGACATTAGTTTCCTTTATTTCCCAAACAGCCCTGTGTCTTCAGGTGCGAAGCAACCTCCTGAAAGGAAGACTGATGGGAGACACGGAGCCGAGATGGCTCCCGGACACTCACCGGTCTGGGCTGGAAGTGCTCGTCGGACAGGCCCCACTTGTCCCTGTGGTACTGGTAGTACACCAGGTTCTGCCGCATGACCTGGTCGCTGGGGTCAAAGAGCAGGTAGCTGACCGCACAGGGGGCTGCGTTCTTCAGGTCGCTCACTGGGGGGGCGCAGAAAAGAGGGACAGGAAATCAGTGGCCCTCACGGGTCACCCTTTTTTCCAGTGCAGCTTCCTACAGGAAAAGGGTGCGAACGAGCCCCTTCTGCAGTCCCTCCTGCAGACAGTGGGTAGCCTGCAACCAACCAGGATCATTCCCTGGGTGGCAGGTCACAGACTGGGTTTCCCTGGCAGCCTGGAATTTCGAAACATGCAGGCTCCTCCTTAGGCAGATAGGCCTGTGCAGAAATGCCCACCACGTTCCACCTCGAGCTCCGGCAGTTGGAGCTGGGCTCACACCCCTAGAACCAGAGGGGGCTGGGTCCCAAGACCTGGACTGTCAAGGAGCTAAGGGAGTTAGAAAGAATGTGCTTAGCAAACGAGCCGCCTGCGCCCCCCACCGCCACCCACATCTAGGTCCCCAAGCACCTAGGTCCCATCTGGATGATACCACCATCCTCAGACCCAGGTGGGCCCTCCGACAGCTAAACCAAATCTAGGAAACTCAGAAGGATGGTGGACAATCTGGGCTGCAAGAAATTTGAAAACCCACCTGGTCTTCTAATTTCCTGGAAGTGAGATTCCCACCTCCAGCCTCCCTCCCTAGAATTGCCCTGCCTACCACAGCACCTTTAGCATAGAAGTTTTGCAGGGGTTGGTATTTGTCTCAAGGGTAGGGGACAAGAAAGAAGAAGTGACAAGTCACAAGGCCCTGGGTATTCATTCTGGCCCAATCTACTCCAATTTATAATCCAGAAACACTACCTTTGTTCAAACTCTGGTTGACCACAATAACCAAAGCCTGGGTATGAATAAATCATGCCACCCAGTGGCTATTTCTGGTAATGACAACTTTAAAACCAGGGTCTTAGGGCCAAGGTATGTCCACAAGGCCTGTCCTCAAAAAGACATAGCAGACTTTAATGAAGTCAATATTGATAAGCAAATTTTGCTCACACTGTGTATCTATCTCCCTAATAAGCAAAGATTTCCTGGAGAGGAGTAAGCAAAGCTAGATGTTTTGGTTACCAGTGTTTAAAAGTCTTTGCCACAGTTTCTGATAGAGTGGGCGATGTTGAGAGCAGGTGGGGATTTCAGAAGACCCGCGAGCTGCCAGAGTCTGGAAGTACCTGGAACACTTCTACACCCCCTGTTTTCTGGCTTTGTGCCTGCAGAAGCAAGCCCTGATGCATCCTCCCACGTTTCAAAGTTTAGCAGGGGGCTAGCTCAGTGAAACGCCAGCACAGATTTTCATGAAAATGAAATAAAAACACCAGGTTACATGCCCTGACCGGTGTGGCGTCATCACACAAAGCAAAAGGGTCTCCAGTTTCGATTCCAGTGCCTGGGCTGTGGGGTCGGTCCGCCATCGGGTGTACACAAGAGGCCACCAACTGGTGTTTTTCTCTCACATTGATGTCTTTCCCTTTCTTTCTCCCTCCCTTCCCCTCTGTCTAAAAACAAATAGATAAAATCTTTAAAAAAGAAAAAACTAGGTTATGTTTTAATCCAACTGAAAATATTTAAACTGTGAACCCAAGATCGGCAATGTGTTGGTGAAATTTGAAGCTGGTGGTGGGCAGACTGAAGTTTATTATCCCACCCTCCCTACGGTGTTTTAAAGTTTTCATAGTAAGCTGTTTCTTAAACCGTGTACATATTTTTCATCATTCTCATTAAAACAGGCTCTTCCAAGTGTGGATGAACAAAAGCAATTGTCTAGCACTGGGGTGGGGGGTGGGGGGACAGAGCAGGGAATGGGTTTTTTGCCTCTCTGTTTCTCTATACAGCTCCCGGATATTTGGTTTGCTGCAACAAGCCAGGACTACAAGCCTTTTTGAAAGAAAGCACCAATCAATGGCTTATATTTTAAAAAGAGGGCCCCGGCTGGTGTGGCTCAGTGGATTGAGTGCCGGCCTGAGAACCAAAGGGTTGCTGGTTCGATTCCCAGTCAGGGCACATGCCTGGCTTGTGGGCCAGGTCCCCAGTAGGGGGCGCATGAGAGGCAACCACACATGGATGTTTCTCTTCCTCCCTCCCTTCCCCTCTAAAAATAAATAAATAAAATCTGTAAAAAAATAAAAATAAATAAAAAAGAGGGCTCTTCACAAGAAAACACCGCCTAGTAGGAAACTATCCCCTTAACATAGGAAACTATCCCCTTAACACTAGAGTGTAGTTGGTAAATATTTGCTGGGGACCTACTGTGTGCTCAGTGTTGTCTCATGTGGAAGCATGTTTGTAGATCACGGAGAACATGACTCTAGTCCTCTGTGCTAAATAATCCCCTACCACAGAGCTGGTGCCAGGGTTATTGCTACAAATAAGTCCTCATTCCTGCCACCCATGGATGGGGACTTAGGGGCAGGACGCCTGTTTAAGACACACCTCACTCTCTGGCTGATCTCAGAAATGTTCCAACTAAAACCGCAGAGCTTTTCATTGGGTCCTTAGGTGCCCATCAGGCTGCCGGAAGATCAAGTTCACTCCTGAATGAGGCAAGTTACCAAACTTGACTAGAAGCAAAAATGAACAATTAAAAAATTTATATACGTAGAGAAAAAATTTTTTTCTTTTCACCTTCAGCAGGCAAGTCTTTCAGTGTTGCCCCAAAGAGGACAGGAGGCGGGATAGAAAGGAAGGTGGTCGATGCAGCGAGAGGGAGCCCAACCAAGAACAAATGTCCACAACGGGGAAGGAGGGCTATGGAAGTCAAGGTCACCTGTCCCTCTTCCCGGGACTTCCATGAATGCCCAAGGCCAGCTGCCCCTGAGTTTGAAGGGGAGCCCAGCCAGTCCCCTGCCACTGAGGCATTTCATCAGTAGAACGACGGAGTTCCCTGAGCAGCTGTCCCCAACAACCCCCATGCTGTCACTGAGCTGCCAAGTACCTCGGCAATGCCTGTGAAGGGAAGAGAAGGATCACCAAAAAGACCGGCTCTGACGACTGAGGGCCACTTCCCCTAAACTACTTCCCCTCTCGCATTTGTTTCCCTGTGTCCCCTTGGAAAACACTCTGACTGACAAACTCCAGTTTCAGGCCAAGGGAGAGCCGACTGGAATGAAACCCTAACAGTCGGAAAAGCAAGGCCCGTGATGGGGAGTAAGGGAAGTAACGACAGAAAGAACAAACACTGACACAGAGTTTGCCGTGTGCCAGTGCGTGAATACCCTCCGAGCCATGTCAATCAACTGGTTTATTCCTCATCTCAATCTGAGTGCTATTATGTCTACTTCACAGATGAGGAAACTGAGACACAGAGAAGCAAGTAACTGGTAAAGCTAGAAACTGAACCCAGGCAGGTTCCAGGGTCTGTGCCCTGAGTCACCAGGCCATGCTGATGATGTAACCTTGATCTCCAAACCATAGGTAAGGGTGACCTCTCTTCCACAGAGGGGGAAGCCGAGTCTTAGAAGGATTAAGTACCATGCCCAAGATTTCAAAGAGGAGGGTTACTTACACTTATAATAAGCAAATTGTAAATAATGATACATGGTAGCCACAAATTTCTCCACTGGGTAGCCTCCGACGACAGGCGTGAGGTTCTCTTCACACTGTATTTTGCATTCCAGAACTTCCACGTAATGATCTGAAAGAACACACACACATTTTCAGAGCCGCACCGCCTTCTTAATAATGCTTCTGCCCCACCCCCCAGAGGATAAAGGTAAAAATATCAGTGATAAAGGTAAAATATTTGCAACACTTATGATAAAAGACTGAAATCTTTAATGGGCAAAGTTTCTCAAAATTAACAAGAAAAGGCAAATACCCAGTATAAAAATGGTCCAAAAGATGCTAGGAGAAGAAATGATAAATATGGCTGATAAACATTGTGAAATGATGCTAAACCTCATTTGTAATTAAGAACTATAATGCCACTGAAGATAATTTAAACTGTTATATTGGCAAGTTTTTAAAAATATGCTGACACCCGTGTTAGGGAGAAAGTGGTAAGACTTACTCTCGTGTTCTGTTGGTAGAAGCAAAGCAAGAACACGTTTTTCAAAGAGCATTTGGTAAAATGTATCAAAGGTTGTAATACACACACCCTCTGACCCAGCAGTCTAGTTCTGGGAAAGTTTTTTTAGATATAGCCACCCAGAAGCACTGTTTGTAACAGCAAACAAACTTGGAAATTACCTAAATGACAATCAATAGGATGATGATTAATAAAGTATGATACATACCAACAATAGAATCTATAAAAACTTTGAAAAACAATAGGTGGACCTAAATATAATAACATAGAAAGATATCAAAGACTACATTTCCCAGCCTCCCTTGCAGTTGAGTAGGGGCCACATGACTAGCTGTGCCAATGAAATGTGAAATGCAGCAACTAATGAATGCTGCAGGTGGTCCTTGGCCCCTGCCTTTTCTCCCTTGGTGCAACTAGAAGCAAAGGGCTCCAGAATAATGGTGCACATTTTGTTAGAAAGACTGTAGAAGAACAGGCACTCTCTTACATTGCTGGTAGAAATGCAAAATGGTAACAAAATACTAGATAATTTACAGAAACATTTACTCTTTGTACAATCAGTCCCACTTAAGATGACTTTAAAAATACGCCTCCATTATTAGACAAAAAAGCCTGAAACTTCCCATTGCAATGTTATGTGTAATAACAAAATATTTGAACAACCCAAATGTCCATCAGATCATTGAATACACTGTAATATATTGTCTCCACCCCAACCAATGATGTATTCAGTACCAATTAAAAAAGAAAAAAGACCCAATGTCTCTGTACTTGTTAGGACATGTGGTTAAGTGGAATAAATAAAGAACACAGCAGTGTATCAAGTATGGTACCTATTCTGTAGGAAAGAAGCAGACATGAAAATAAGGGGAAAACAGATTTGTGTATATACAACCTTTTATAGAAAAAAATGACTCAGGCAAGAAGCCTCAATAGATGCTAAATCAGAGGATTGGGGTTGAGGGGGAGAAACACAGAGTTTGATGGACACTCTCCACAAATTATTTATTCTTTTCAAAAGGAAAAATAGTAATTACACTGTGGAGAAGGTGGAAGCTGAAACACACCATAACCAAATGCTTAAAAATTAGCATCACCAAGCAGGGGCCAGCAGCCACCAAGCACATGGCAATGTGGTACCTGGAGAAGGGCACTCCTGTAATGTTCCAGCCAAGCAGGCACAGCCTTAATATAACCGTGAGGGCATCATAGAGACCCAAATCGAGGAATGTTCTATAAAGTGACTGGCCTAAATTCCTAAAAAATATCAATGGCATTAAAAGACAAAGGACAGCCAAGGAACTACCCCAAATTAAAAAACACTAAAGAAGAAAATAATTAGGAAACGTGATCCTGGGTTAGATTGTACCAGGCAAAAAAGTTTCTATCGACTAGAAAAGATATTATTGGGGCAACTGACAAAGTTAGAATGCAGACTATTAGCTGGATAAAAGTATTGCACCAATATTAAGTTGCCTGAATGTAATAACTCCACTGTGGATATGCAGAGAGCATTATTGTTTTTAGGAAAAACACTCCAGTGTTATAAGTTCAAGGGTCATGAGGTGTGCAACCTACTTCCAGGTGGTCCTGTAATAAGAACAGTTATGCACACACACATAGGGAGAGGATGATAAAGTAGCACAACCAATGTTAAAAATTAGTGAATCTGGCCCTGGCCAGGTATGTCAGTTGGTTAGAGCATCACCTCTATATGCCAAGGTTGCAGGTTCAATCCCAAGTCAGGGCACATACAAGAATCAACCAATGAGTGCTTGGGTGTGTTGAACAATGAGTCGATGTTTCTCTCTCTCTCTCTCTGTCTTAAAATCAATTTTAAAACTTAGTGAATCTGGGTAGAAGTATATGAGAGTTCTTTCCATTCTTGCAACTTCTCTATAGATTTGAAATTATTTAAAAATAAAACTAAAATATCCCCTACATATCTTTACCTACCTACTTACCTACCTACCTAGCTATCTACCTATCTATATGAGATTTATCAACTATAACTTATCTTTGCCTATTTTTATTTAAAAAAAAAACCTTTTAGAAGTATAAACCAGAAGCAAGTAAAAATGGTTACCTTTGGGGATGAGTGGAACAAGCAGAAGAGCAGTGGGTGGTGGAAGCAAGACCGCCTTTTAGCTTCCTGTGCCTCCTCCCGCCCCTCCGCCTATGTGAAAATGCTCACGACTAGTAGCCCTGGGGTCCTGCGCTGCCCTTTGGGGTCTCCTTCACCCACACTTCAGTGGGTAGCCCTTTGTAAGCCACCCTGGTGGACATGGGCCGTCTACTGCCAGTCAGGCCCTGACTGCTACAGAAGGAGACTCATTTGTCACAGCACGGCCTTTTGTCTCTTTCACAGTTTGGATGGTGTGCATGTCTTGGCTATCGAAAACAAAATAAAGTGTAAGTATAATGCTCCCCACCTGGTCAGACTATCTCATTAGCATTAACAGGTAAGAGTCTGCAGTCGGACATCCTGGGTTCAGATCCCAGTCCTTCCCCTGAGGACAATAAACACAATACTCTCTATGCCTCAGCTTTCTCAGCTATAAAATGGGGAGATTGCTCTCGCCTTCCTCACGCGGCTGCAAAAGTGAGACACTACACATAGAAAACAGAGAATGGGGCCTGGCATCTAGTTAAGAGTTGTTTTTTTTTTAAGTTACCTTGTTTTAAACATTTTTTAAAGGTTTATTTCATTCTCATCCAAGAGAGAAGGGAAGGGGGAGAGAGAAACAATCCATCAGTTGCCTCCCTAACATGCCCGGCAGGTGACTAGCTACCAACCGACTGGCAACCTTCGGTGCACAGGCCAGTGCTCAATCCACTGAGCCGCACCAGACAGGGCTCATCTTTCTATTTTCTGAATGTTTGAGATTTTTCACAAGAAAATGGTTTTGGCAAGGAAAAGAAAGTTACTCTGTGGAAAAAGAGACACCTAAGCAAAAAAATATATATATATTTTAAAAATCATTAAAAAAATAAAAAAGCCCGATTCAATAACCCCAAACCACAAGGTTTCTACGAGCCTTTAACTATCAAAGGACGCAGGGCCTCTCCGAGAGGCGGACGGCACCCAGCTCGCACCCAGGCTTGTTTGACCGGGCACCCTTGTTACCAGGTGCAGTTCTAGGGTCGCTGCTCCCACAGCCAACTCTGGAAATCCCTTCGTGGCCCAAGTTCTGCAGTGACACTGCCCACCAGAGGGAAAAGAGAAACCCTGGGGAAATCTGGGGTACTGCTGGCAGGGGTTCTACATTTTCCTTCTTCATTCCTTCCTGTGTTTTCCAGACCTCCTATAACGAGCCTACAGTTTTTTTATGATCAGAAAACTTTTCCCAAAAGTTATCTTAGTGACGACTACATAGAGGCTCATTATACCTTTCTGTGTGCTGACAAAATTCCACCAATAGAATTATCTCAGTAACACGAGGCACGAGTTACTCATGAGCTCGTTTTTATTTTTCCAGAAGTCTGTGGGGAATCTGTAATCGGGCAGGGCTGATACTATAAAAGTCCTCTGCAGGTTCGGGCTTGCACATCACACTCCCTGTCTCTCCAGAAGCCCCTGCCACGTCTGATCTGCATAGGTGTCCGCCCTACTCAACAAGGGACCTCAGAGGCCATGGGCAGCTATCCCACTGCTGTCTGGGATTCAATCCCCACCAACCTGCTATGGACAGATAGAAGTCCTTGAAGTCCTTGATCTCCCTGGAGCCCTCGCAGGCTGCAAGACACTCGTAAAAGGCTTTGAAGAAGTCGGGAAGGGCCAGCTCCATGTCGGTGATGGACGTCCTCCAGTTCTCGCCATTGTACGCCCGCACAGCTCGAATGAACAGGCTCTAGGGGAACGAGGGGAGGCTAATGAAAGTCCCAGGCAGGAAGGGAGGCGCACCTGTCCTCCCAAAGGCATTGGACCGTCCCAGAGCTTCATTCTCACTAATTCTGGAGGGAGCACGCTGGCCCTTGATTAAATATGAAGCCAATTAGTGACCTAATTTATGCCTTGTTTCTTCCACCCTTTTCTTCTTTTTAAATCTTCACCTGAGGACATAGTTATTAATTTTGGAGAGAGAGGAAGGGAGAGAGAGGGACAGAAACATCAATGTGAGGGAGAAACGTGGATTGGTTGCCTCCTGGATATGCCCTGACCGGGGATCAAACACACAACATTTTGGTGCCTGGGACGACCCTCCAACCAATTTGAACCACCCGGCCAGGGCAATGGGACATTTCTTATTTCATTTCAGTACAAAATTTGCAAGCACTTAATAATAAAGTCAGGGTTGATTCAAGGATAAAGGAGACACTACAGTGACAGAAATCACAGCAGTGGCACACAAGAGTCAGGGGTTGGGACAAAGGCTTGACTACAAAGGGACATGAGGGGACATTTTAGGGGAGATGAAAAGATTCTGTATCATGATTATGGTGGTAGTTACAGACTTGCATATATTTGCCCAGACCTGATGAACTGTATATTTCAAATTTAAAATTAAATTTTACATAATTATACCTCAGTGAAGCTGATCTTACAAATTAATCAAGGAAAAGATAGAAGCTTCAGAGTAGCTGTCGAACCACTGCTCTGAAGTAATAAACAGGAAGGCCACACACCAGCTCCAATTACTGGGGAGGGCGGCCATGTGCCAGGCAGTGGAAACTTCAAAAAATTTCTCCTAATTGTTGACCAGACCAGGTAATAGAGAAATAACAAGGGCTGAGGAAAAGAGGCAGTCTCACCAGAAATAAGTGGAGATCTTGGATTCATGTCAAAACCCGCTAACCTGGAGGGGCCAAGACAGGCCTTGAAATAAACAGGGGGCAGCCCTGGCTGGTGTAGCTCAGTGGATTGAGCATGGGCCTGTGAAACAAAGGATCACTGGTTTGATTCCCAGTCAGGGCACATGCCTGGGTTGCAGGCCAGGTCCCCAGTAGGGGACACATGAGAGGCAACCACACATTGATGTTTCTATCCCACTCTTTCTACTTCCCTTCCCATCTCTCTAAAAATAAATAAATAAAATATATTTTTAAAAAAGAAATAAACAGGGGGCAGATGGCGGTGTAGGCAGACATGGCTCCCCTCTTCTCGCAACCACCTCAAAATTGCAACTAAAACGTAGAACCATCACTCACAACCAACAGAAATCAAGTTGAATGGAAGTCAGACAACTACGGATAAAAATTTGGGAGGAATATCTTGGGAGCAAGGAGTCCCAGCCCACACCAGGCCCCCCAGCCTAGGAGCCCAGTGGAAGGAGATAAGTCGCCATAACCGTGGCTGTAAAAACCAGTGGGGATTGACTGGGTGGAATAAACTTCTGGAGTCCCAACCAGTTCCCCTTAAAGAACCCACATGCCCTCTCTCTGAGCTCTAGCACCAGGGTAGCAGCTTGAAAGGCACCAGTGGTGTATGAGGAGGAACTGAAGTGTCTGGCATCAAGCCAAAAGCTGAGGGACAGTTTTCTCTCAGACAGAAAGGCAGGCAGAGGCCATTATCCCTTTCTGAGTCCTCCCCGAAGAGCTGTAGAGCCAGCCGTCTGGTGCCACGTCTGACACTCCATCAACCTGGCCAACACTATTTGCCCCACCCTGGAGATGCCCTGAGACTGTCCCACTGAATTTACAGGCCCAGCCAAACTGTTAACCATGATTTTTCCATATGAATGGCTGGTCTTGGCTCATGCTTCATAAGTTCCTAAATCCTATCAAACAAGCAATAGACGGCCTCAGTGAGTCCCCAGCCTCCAAACCCTTTGCTAAGTGGTCCCAGGCCCAGCACAAGCAGCAACCAGCCTAGATTCACAGTTTCACTTTGCCTGGGAATCTCCAAGCCCAGCACAAGTAGCAGCCTTCTTAGACTGCTTTACAGCTCAGGCAGGGTGGCCCTGGGCAAAACACAGGTTGGGGCTGACCTTGACCTGAACCACCTGGGAAATCTCAGAGCCTGTATACCAAGTGGACAGCTACAGGCCATGCCAGAGCCATCACCCTGCCCCTGCACAGCCGATCCTCCACAGAGGACAGAGCTTGGTAGTCAGTGGTCACAGCCAGTCCTTGTAGCTGACTGGTCTGGGTAAATCTTTCCCATTGATCTGCCAACAGCAACCCAGACTCAACTACAAGAGGAGGGTGTACACAGTGCACATGGAGGGCATACTTCAAGTACCCAGATTGGACCCTACAGGACACCAACTATATTAGGCCATGCTACCAAGACAAGAAGTCCTAGCAGTTCTACCTAGTACATAGAGACAAACATAAGGAGGCTGCTAAAATGAGGAGACAAAGAAATATGGCCCAAATGAAAGACTAGATCAAAACTCCAGAAAAACAACTAAATAAAATGAAGATAAGCAATCTATCAGATGCAGAGTTCAAAACACTGGTTATAAAGATGTTCAAGGAAGTTAGTGAGGACCTCAATAGCATAAACACGATTCAGTTAGAAAAAAAGGATACATTAATTGCAATAAAGGACAATTTACAGAGAAACAACAGTAATTAATAAAGCTGAGAATCAAATCAATGATTTGGAACATAAGGAAACAAAAAACAACCAATCAGAACAACAAGAAGAAAATGAAGATGTGTAAACAGCCTTTGGGACAACTTCAAGAGGCCCAGCATTAGCATCATAGGAGTGCCAGAAGGAGTAGAGAAAGATCAAGAAATTGAAAATCCATTTGAAAAAAAATAGTGAAAGAAAACTTCTCTAATTTGGTAAAGGAAATAGAGAGTCAAGTCCAGGAAACACAGAGAGTCCCGAACAAGATGGATGCACAGAGGCCCACTTCAATACGCATCATAGTTAAAATGCCAAAGGTTAAAAATAGAGAATCTTAAAAGCAGTAAGAGAAAAGCAGTTAGTTACCTACAGGGGAATTCCCATAAGACTGTCAGCTGATTTCTGAAAAGAAATTTTGCAGTCTAGAAGAGACTGGCAAGGCATATTCAAAGTCATGAAAAGCTGAGACCTACAGCCAAAGTTGCTCTACCCAGCAAAAATATCATTTAGAATCAAAGGGCAGATAAAGAGCTTCCAGACAAAAAAAAAAACCTAAAGGAGTTCATTATCACCAAACCATTACTATACAAAATGTTAAAGGGACTTAAGTCCTTTTTCTTAAATAAGAAAAAGAAGATCAATCTATGAACAATGAAATGGCAATAAATACATATCCATCAACAATTGAATCTAAAAAATGAACTGCCTTGGCTGGTGTGGCTCAGTGGATTGAGCACTGGCCCTCAAGCTGAAAGGTCGCCAGTTCAATTCCCAGTCAGTGCACATGCCTGGGTTATGGGCCAGGTCCCAGTTGGGGGTATGCAAGCCAATGGACGTTTCTCTCATACATCAATGTTCCTCTCCCTCTCTTTCTCTTTCCCTTCCCCTCTATCTAAATATAAATAACTAAAATCTTTTTACAAAACTAAAAAACAAACTAAGCAAACAAGAAGGACAGAGTCAGAATCATGGATACAGACAGCATTTTCCTGGTTGCCAGGTGGGAGAGGAGCATAGGGAAGTGGCTGAAGAGGTGAGGAAATTAAGAAGTACAACTAAGTAGTTAAAGAATAGCCATGAGGATGTAAAGTACAGGAACCAGAGTAACCAAAGAACTTAGGTTCATGACCCATGGACATGAACAATGGTGTGGGGATGGCCTGAGGGAGCGAGGGGTGTTGGGTGGAGGGTGACAAAGGGGGAAATATTGGGACAACTGTAATAGCAAATTCAATAAGAAATAATTTTTAAAAAACTGAACAATCAAATGACCATATTTCTAAAAATATAGCATTTAAAGGAAAGGTGGCTTTAACAGTATCGTGGAATGCAAAATCTCATTCTTAAATGGGTCAACGCTAAAAAGTCAATTATTTCTATTTTCACGGTATTCATCAAATGCTATCAAAAATCACCAGAAGCCCTTCGATAGCTAGAACTTTCTTCGAGAATTCACATTGCAACCGACCACTGTGTAGAACTCCAGCTGTACCTCATATGACTTGGTTTCCAGGTCTTTAATGTAGTCCTCAGCATCAGGCAAGCTCTTGTAATAGGCCATGTTTTTCTTCATCATTTCGTCATCGGGGTGCTTCAGTAGAAAGGTGTGGGCAGCTGCGATTGCTTTCGGAAGATTATTTGCCTGGAGTACAAAGAAGAAAGACAAAGGCAACTCAATGGATGGTGAGCAGTGATTTTTGCAAAACGAGGCCTACTGGGTCTTTCAGTAACTTCTTGTTTCTGTACAATGTTTCCAGCTGAGGGTTCAGCAACTTCTGCGGCCCATCAAGACCTGGTCCAGCTACTTCGGACAAGCGTTTATTCCCTAAAAGTGACCAGATGGCCTTGCGGGCCTGTCATCATCTACTGTCCCCCATCTCCACCCGGCTCCGTGCCCCAGGAGTGCTGGCCTTTGTGAACGGTGTGAACTGTAACAATCAACTACTTTGCCCTGTAGCTTCCAGTGGGGTTCATCAATGAAGAACCCCACTAGGAGACTAAAGGGAAGGAAGAGAATAAGGTTGGGTTACTTAGTCTCCTGGCTCCCTCCCTGCCTAGTCACCTCAGCCCGCTCTTGTCCCTTAACTGAAAGTCACAGCTCCTTTCAGGGTGGCCCTCTCGATATAGTCTCTCTCCTTCCAGGTTGTCTCCTTTGTCCCTTTGGCCTCGGGGTAGTCACACGCCACTGTCACCAGCCTCTGTACATCACTGCCTTATTAATGAAGGGACTCACCTTCACTCACCCAAATGATTAGACCACATCTTTCCTGCCCAAACCTGACACACCGATAAGTTCCCAAGTTCCTCGCAGAACCTTCTGTTCACTGTCCTCAGAGACTGCTGCCATCTCCTCTCTCCACTCAGCCACTCACTCACTCACTCAGCAAGTATTTGTGGAATGCCCCCTACATGCTAGGCACTGTTCTAGAAACCAACAACAAACAAAATAGGGGGGACATCCCTGCCTTCGTGCACCACACATTGAAGTGAGTCCTCCCTATCTCCTAGCAACCTCGATGAAGAGCCTTTTATGTTCCCGATGTTCTATCTTCCTGCTTTCACACCTCTCTGTGGGCTCAGCAGCTAACATGTCTCTCTCCCCGTCCAGACTATGATCCTTTTAGGACCCAGCTGTATCATTCCTCGCGCTTGGTACACTTCCCGGGACAAGGCAGCACACAGGGTCAATGACTGGGACATGACCGTTATGACGACATAATACTGTCATAAAAAGTAACCCATCTTTTGCTCTCTTTTCCCCTTTCTCATCTCTCCAGTTAGGCAGTGGCCAACTGATTCTGAGCTTTACTGCTTCATGGGAGGTAATTTCTGGACAAGACGCAGAAATTACTCATGTGACAAAAGCCCCGAGCCATTGAGGGAACTTGGCACATTGGAAGGAGAGAAAGAATTGGGAGAGGGAGTGGTGGGCAGAAGCCGGCTGGCCTGAAAGGAGAAGAGGGAGAAAGAGAGACTCCCCTAAAAAGTTTCCCTTGGCAGCTTCAGGAGAAGCAAGGAGCAGCAGCTGTGGTGCCCTTGTGGGCAGAGCCCAGGAGGGCAGAGGTCTTCAGGGAGGAACGGGGTGCTGTGTGGGAAGGGGGGCTGCAGAGGGCAGGAGGACAGGGATATGGACACCTCCCTGTGTGGACACACAACCAACAGCCAGAGGACTCCCCCCCACACACACACACGCATTGATGTCCCAGCTCCGAGTGTCCCCTGGAATCATGGCACAACCTGATGGGGGCAGGAGAGGCACCCTACACGTGCGCAGAGACTCCTTCAGCCAATCCCGAGGGACACTTGGATGCAGGGATGAGAATCAGGTTTGAAGAGAGAAAGAAAAGGGACACTTGTCACACTTGAATTCCTGAGAATCAAAGGGTGGCACAGAGCCACGTCACTTAGAGACAACGACGGTGGCTGCAATAGAGAGTGGTGGGAGGGGATGACTCTCACGTGTCTGTGCTGGTGTTTTGGGGACACTGGTCAGCAGCCTGCAGACTGCATCGGAAAGGGCTCTACAGAAAGCTTTCGAGTCCTGGCCAGGAAAGGCCAGCCTGGCAGCCGGAAGGAAGGGAGGAGGTATGAACGCAGACATTTGACAGCACTTGCCAATGCAATTAGATGCTCGAATTCCCAGAAGAGCATGTAGAAAGAGGGGGCACAGAGTGGGATTTTTAAGGCCTCTCACGCAGGACCTGCATGTACAAAGTGGAACCCCTTTCTGAAGAGGAAAGAGTGATGGTATGCACTTTAACCCAGGCTCGGCCAGCTGGAACATGAAGCCACTTCTTGGCAGCTACACCCCAGGCAGACCCCAGCCCGGTTCTGGAGAAGGCGGTGGTAGCCCCTACCCAGCCATGGGCTCCTGACCGAGAGAGCCACCGGCCTGACAGGACCCCGGCCACCTGCCCAACGAGCCACTCTGAAATCAGTGAGGTGGCAGGCCTTTGGGCTGGGAAAGAACAGAGTCCACATCCAGGCAAAGGATGGAACAAGGGTGCCTGCGAGGGGGCCGGCTCAGTCTGCTCAAAGTCGTTAAGGATTTGATAAAGCGCTGGGCCCCATTTTTCCCTTGGCCTTGGGGAAGTTGAGCATTTCAAGGAGATGGCAGCCACAGACAGAACCCACAGACAGCGACACGAACCTAAGGTGGCTGGTGACATGGAATCCATGGTGGGACGGAGAGCTACATGCCAGGAGGATGGCCCCTTCTCTACAAGAGGGCACATCCGCACCTCCTCACCTCTCTCTAATGGTCTGAACTCCCCTTCCCCCTCCATGTGTTCAATCTGGCCTTTGTCCTTCAGCACTGAAACACAGGCCTGCCCAGCACAGGAGCATTGGCCCAGCACAGGAGCATCTACCCAAATCTGCCACAGCAGCCCGCACCATCTACCTCTGCCTTTTGGAGTCAGAGAGGATGTACCTGCCTGTCACCAATCATTTTCACTCTACCCAGAAACCAAACGTGAAAATATAAACAAACATCATTACTGGAAAACAACAACAAAAAACAACAATATACAATATCACGACCTAAAATCACCTTCTCAGTGATTTTCAGTTGAAGTAATAAAGATTTTAATATTTATTAAGGAAATTCTTAACTTTTTTCTGCCCTATAAGAGATCTCAAAATACTATGACAAGATGGTATTTTACTGACTTTTAAGGAATTGTTAGAAGACCTACAAAGGGTTTTGAAGAGAAGCGATGAACTTCCTAAACTCTGAGGACGCAGAGATCAAGAAGAAAACCCAGGCCTTAGGGGCACATGGAGTAAAATGCTCCTCCCCTCCTCCCTATGACACTTGTTTCAAATTCATCTACACATTAAAGAAATCAGAGCTTTTGTTATTCCCAAGTCTTACAAGTAAAGATTATGTGATTCAATTTTGGTTCTGTCTTTGCCAAAAGCTATACAAAAAAAAGGAAAGAATTTAACAAGTCATTTTCTTTGCTTGAAAAATAGTGCTTGTATGAGCCGGCCATTATTTTTCAATGTCCTGGAAATGTATTAATCTTATTCCTGGTTCCATTTTTAAACTTTTTTTATTGCCAGGACAAACAGTCACAAAACTGGTATGTTTTATGAAACTGCACCCAAGCATAAAAGAACCCAGCTTTTCTTCCACTTGGGGTTTTGGGCTATTGTATTACTCATATGACTGCAATATACACGTGGCTGTTTCAGTGGAAATACGAAAAACAGACCTTGCAGGCCAAAGACTCAAAGCAAAGTTAAAACAAAACAACCAACTTCCACCTCCAGAGTCTGGCCAATGCCCTGCATCTAATTTGGAGTCATTAAAATAAATGCAATGTATTCCTTTTAAAAACCGTCTTCAATTAGATAAAGAGGATCTGGACTTTGAGCGGGCTTTCTTGGCAAAACCCAGTGAAGACTTGCCAAGTTCAAGCCTCTTTATCCAGTAACAGGGAGTTCAGTCCATTCTTAAAACTTGTGGGTCCCCAGAGTAAAGACTCGGAGTATATCCAGGACTGTAATTTGTGGCTATTCTTAGCCAGCAATCACAGACGGAATCTAAGCAGCCGAAGGGAGGAAGCCGACTGTTGTCGAATTCTAGATGAAAGACAGACAGCAGAGAATGCCAGCCCTGGTGAATCACTGCTAAATTCTGCTCCTCAGGCAGGGACGTGTCCTCACCACGAGCCCTGCCCTTTCCTGGCCTCAATTTCCTCCTCTTTCAAAGGGACTGGCCAGCTCTTCAGGTCCTCTTTGGCTCGATTATTGAAAGTCACCACTCACTTGAGAAAAAAGGATTTTAATGGCATATACTGAAAAGATGAATCTGCCTTCCAATAACAGGTAACAAATACCTGGCACTTGGCCGGGTGCCAGACACTTTGCTAGATGTTCTATGTGTTAATTGTGCCTCAGCTGAAATATTTCCACCTCTAAGACGAAGAAGGGAGCGGGATGTGGAGGCGTCCTTCGCCAGGACTGCATGTTAGACAGCAGGGTCCAGTAAGGGCGGTGGAACAAGGCCCAAAACAAAGGGGGCGGGGCCAGAGCCCAAGGCGGGGGCGGGGCCGTGGGCGGGGCGGACTTGCCTTGAAGTAGGCGAACTGCAGAAACTTGTAAGGCTCGCGGCGCTGGAAGTCGGCCAGCACTTCGCGGCTGGGCTGCGACTGGCGGAAGGCTGGCAGGCCCTGCTTGCAGCGCTTGAGGCAGTGCGCTCGGCGCAGCAGGCCTCCGAAGAGGCGCAGCTCGGGGTAGCGGGCGAGGCCGGGAGCGGGCTCGGGCTCGGGCACCTGGCTGCAGTTGCGGTGGCAGAAGGCCTCGCTGTCGCGCAGAAGACGGTGCAGCCGCAGGCTGATCTCCAGGTAGCCCACGCTCTCCGCCCAGTGCTCGCTGCTGTATTGGTCCAGGGCGTGCCGGTAGGCCGACTCGAGCGGCATCAGCTCGTCCCGCGGGAAGCTGCGGAAGCTGTAGCGCTCAAACTGGGCAAACGCGGGGCGCAGCGCGCAACCGGCGCACAGCAGCACCACCAGCGCCACGACCACCCCGCGTCCGGGCTCCATCGCGCCTGGCGGAAGGAGGGAAGGAAGGAAGGAAAGGAGCTAGAAGGAAGAAGGAGGGCGAGACGCGGCTGGCCGAATGCCTGGGAGGCGGAGACGACAGCTTCAGGCCCGCCCTGTCCGGCCGCCCCTCCAAACAAACGGAGGGTCCTGGCGTAGCTGCCCTGACGGAGAGGGTGCCCTGGGAAGGGCGCGCAGACCACTGGCTCCCACACTGTCCCACTCGAGCTGGGGGCAGAGGCCTGTAAGGCAGATGCTGTCCTAATGAATCATAGATTAGTGCCACTTTTATAGTCACCGAGGGGATTTGTGAAAACGCAGGTTCTTGGCCTGTACCCTAAGAGTTTCTGATTCAACAAGTCTGGGTTGGGGGATCTGAGAGTCTGCATTTTTTATAGTTATGACTTAGAATTTTATTTTCATGACCTCTTTTTAATGTTATTTTTTATTACAGTTTACATTCAGTATAATTTTATATTTACTAGTCTCAGGTGTCCAGCAGAGTGGTTAGATGGTCATATACTTTACAATACGTGCCCCTGATATTTGCAGCACCATACATAGTTATTTCAATGTGATTGGCTATATTCCCTATGCTGAGATCCCCCTGACTATTTGTAACTACCAATTTGTACTTCTTAATCCCTTCACTTTTTTTTTAACCCTCTCCCCCAACCCCAATGCCCTCTGGCAGCCACCAGTCTGTTTTCTGTATCTCTGAGTCTGTTTCAATTTTGTTAATTTTGTTTTTTAGATTCCACATCTAAGTGAAATCATATGGTACCTGGCTTTCGCTGACTGACTTAATTCACTTAGCATCATACTGAGATTCGCATTTCCAATCAGCACCTTGCTGAGGCTGAGGCTTCTGGTCCAAGGCCTACACTTTGACAGCAGCGTTGCTGACCACCTTACTTTTCCATGATAGAAAAGATAACTAAAAGGAATAAGGATGTCCGCAGCACTTTGTAAACTATTTAGCCAGCCAAGTGGAAGATGCAGCACCTTGCAACCCTGAGATTCCACTCCTCAGAATATACTACAGGAACTTGTATGTGCTCATCAAAAAATATGGATGGAGCCCTGGCAGGTGTGGCTCAGCTGGTTTGAGCATCATCCATAACCCAAGGGTTGTGGGTTTGATTCTCCATCAAGGTGGATACAGGAAGCAGCGAACTGATGCTTCTCTCTCTCATTGATGTTTTTCTCTTTCTCTGTAAAATTAATGAGAGAATGTCCTTGGGTGGGGGGGGGTGGTGGGAAAAGAAGAATATGGATGGAATGTTAAAATTAGCACTTAAAAAGTATTTAAACTTTTTACTTTGAAATAACTTATAGAAAAGCTGCAAGAACAGTACAAAGAGCTCCCATATGCTCTTTCCTCAAGATTCACAAATTGCTAACGTTATGCCGCATTTCCGTTCTCCCTTTATCTATTTTTATATGTTTTTCTGAATCATTTGAAGGTAGGTCGCCTACATCAGGCCCACTCTCCCCTTAATCTTTCAGTATTTAAGTCTTAAGAATGAAACTACAGATAATGATTGAATTCAACATTGACATAAGACTTTAACCTACATTTCCTATTCCAGTTTTGTCCACTGTACCAGTAATGTCTTTTATAGCACTTTCCCCCTGGATAGGATGCAGTCCAGGATCAGCTATTGCATCAGGTATTGATCAGGTGACAACCTGCAGTGTCTTCTAAACTGGGCCTTTTCAGCTTATCGTGTCCTGCCGTTGATGTTTTTGAAGGATACTGGCCAAAACAACATTGATATTCCACTACGCACCTATTAGAGTGGCCAAAATCCAGAACACTGACCACACCAAAGGCCATTTTGTTTATTTTTAGAAAGAAGAGAAGGGGGGAGAAAGAGACAAAAACATTAATGTGTGGCTGCCTCTCATGCACCCCCTACTGGGGACCTGGCCCTCAACCCAGGCATGTGCCCTGACTGGGAATTGAACCAAGGATCCTTTAGTTCGCAGGCTGGCACTCAGTCCACTGAGCTACACCAGCCAGGGCAGTTTGATGGTTTCTTACCAAACTAAATGTACTCTTTCTATGCAATCCAGCGATCACACTTCTTGGTATTTACCAAAATTAGTTGAAAACTTATGTGCACACAAATATTTATAGCAGTTTTATTCATAATTGCCAAAACTTGGAAGCAATCAAATGTCCTTCGGTAGGCAAATGGATAAATAAACCGTGGTGTATCCAAACAATGGAGTAATGTCCAGTGTGTAAAAGAAATGAGTTATCAAGCTGTGAACAGACATGGAGTCATGTTAAATGCCTATGACTGAAAGAAGCCATCTGAAAAGTCTACATCCTGTATGAGTCCAACTATATGACATTCTGGAAAAGGCAAAATTATGACAGTAGTAAAATGATTAGTGGTCGCCAGGTGTTGGGGAGGGGGACAGATGAACAGGCAGAGTACAGAGGATTTTAGGGCAGTGAAACTACTCTGTTTGATACCATAATGGCAGATACATGTTGTTGTACATTTGTCAAAACCCAAAGAATGTACAACATCTACAGTGAACTTGAATGTAAACTAAGAACTTTGGATGATTATGATGTGTCAGTGTAGGTTATCGTTGGGAACTGCCCTGCCTGGTTTCAGAAGCTGTAATCCTTAGTGGCTAAGGCTGAGTAAAGGACCTTGGGACCATAAGCCACTTAGGAGACAAAGCTTATCTTCCTTGTAGGGGCACTGCCTCTACCCCCTTTTACTTCACCCTGCTTGGCCCTGGGTGGGTAACTGCTTGGCCATGAAGGGTAAGATTCCTCAAAGGAAGGACGACTTAAGACAGGCACGGTCATGAAGGGGCCCTCAGGGAAGGACCTGGGGGGCTAGAGCAAAAAGGGGTGATGAACCCTCGCTCCTTGCCCCTCAGCTCTGACATAGCCTGAGTCCTCATTCTGTCTGCAAAAAGTCTCCTAATCTCTAGGCTGCCTCACTTCCCCTGCCTGACTGAAGCCTGAAACAATGCCAGAGGTGGGCAAGGCCCCGTGCTGGAAAGGGTGGGTTCTCTAGGGCGATCAGGCCTAAGAAAGAATGCATAAAGTCCTATGAAACCTACTTTGCTAATACCCCCAATTTAAATGATAAGGGTCCAAGCACGAAGTGAGTTTGTTCCCCAAAGTTTTATGGCCTTTTAACTACCTGACCCTAACTCAGAATAAGCCCTCAGAGTTCTTTAAATGTTATCTATTGTTTAGCTTTAGATTGATGAGCTTTATGTGTACACCCTGTATTCCTATGCAAATTAAACCAATAAAAGCCTGTCAAGGTAAGGGTCAGGGTGTTTGTTCTCTTGAGAGAGTAGCCAAGGCACTCGGAGGCACTCTCTCCTTGAGTGTGCCATCCCTTTTCCTCCACGGGACATCAGTGTGAATTTGTCTCATCCACAATGCCATTGACACTGCTGGCCAGTGTCCACATCAGGTTATAGCACAGAAATTTATTTCTCATATTTCTGGAGCCTGAGAAGTTCACGATCAAGTTGCCAACAGATTCAGTGTGTGGTTCAGACCAGCTCCTTCCTATGTTCTCACATGGTGGAAAGGACCAGAGAGCTCTGGAGCTTCTTTCATAAGAGCTCTAATCCCATTCATGAGGGCACTGCCCTCATGACCTGATCACCCAAAAGACCCCAGAGACCTGCCCCCAAATACCACCCACCAGAGATTAGGTTTTAACATGTGAATTTGGGGAACACGCAATCAGTTTATAGCAGTCATCAGTCTAGTGCAAGCGTGAGTCTGGGAAGGTTGCGAGAGGCCATGCCTGAATTCCTATACAGTGTTGGAAAAGATCAAAGAGAAGTTGGCCGGAGGCAAAACAGAAAAGGAAGAATTTCTGGCAAAGGGAATGATGCAAGCAAAGGCTCAACTCGGGAAGAAGATGGTGGGGCCGGAGGCCTCAAGAACAGGATAGGAGACCCCCAGAGCGATCCTCATAAGAAAAATGAGGTCCTGAATTAAAAACACAGGACACAAAGAGCCATACCACAGAGACAGATAAATGTCAGAAGTTAGATATTTCCTTCAGATACTGCCATTGGTAATTCCCTCATTAAGAAAGAGGCATTAAATCTGGGGTTCGATTTGGGGATGCCTTGTGACTTATGATCCTAGGCAACCCCCCAAAATCTTAGGTTAGAGAAAGCTCGGGAAATTGGTACAGAATATAGTTGGCTGTAGGGCAACTTCATTGTGTTGAGTAAATAATTATTTTATCCTGGGCTCCCTGGAAAACAGTCTGAGGCAAGAATTAAATGTTAATACTTTATTTGGGAGGTACAGTCACTGACAGAGGGCATGATAGGGAAGATTGAGAAGCAGCACTAGGTATGTGTTACTATGCCGGCCACTGCTCCATAACAGCCTGGAAGACGTAGGGCCATTTTCTTGGCAGGTGCACCCACTGGATCACGTGGTATGTCTCTGGACAGGCTAGGCTGAGAAACCACACCTTGAAATGGGGAGAAAGGGAGAGAGGAGTTTTTACTGGCTCATTTCCTTCTCTGGTCTCCCACTGTCCTACGGGAAGTGAACTGGCCTGCCCTTCTGGGTTGTACTTGCCAGCCTCTTTGGCAGACAGTTGGGAAGTGTGGTGCTTTATTCCAGTGAGTCCAGAAATGTCTGGAGGAGCCAGAGACTCCCCACGGTTGGTTTGGGGGTGGCAGATGTGCTGCAGGGGCAGCTGACATGGAACAGGCAGCCTAGGGTTTGGGAGACAGGTAACTAATGAACCCCAAGTGCCACACAGATGTGTCTGCTACAGCAGTCACAGAGGTGTGATCAAATTACCTGAAGCTGCAAACTTAAATCTCTCATACAGTCTCTCACATCAAAACAACGTGGACCGGATGGGGACCTGCTATGCCTTAGAAGTGTCCCCACACCTGTCTCCAGTCTACGGTTACCCTATGGGACCAAGCGCCTGGTGTAGCCACACCTCTGATCTTCAAAGAGAAACTGTATATCTAGATTGTGTAAATTCCCCTGATTCAATGTTGACAACCCCAGTAATGATATAAAATTTAAGACACTGGCGAGCCACCATGGTGACTGT